GGATGGGTTGCTCCTTTATGATACATAATGCCAAATCACACAGCTAACAATGTATGCATGCGCATCATCTAATACTCCATCTGCTTCTGAAGTTGGTTCACGTAAAGTTTATTTGATCCATCCGCTAACCTACTACAACTACCAAACGGCAGTGGGCATCGTTCCCCAGCATAGCAACATCAGGAGATCTTACCATCTACATTTTGCTTGCATCCCACGTGCCTAGTTTCAATGTTGGTAAGTACAATCTTGCCTATCCTAACATTGTTGAACACGCATACCACAATGGCTCACCAATAACTAAACCTACCTCATTAGCCATCGAGAGCATCACACATGTTATTTGAATCCAGATGTTCGTACACCATCGAAGGCACACATGACATTTAATCGAAACAGCAAGTGGAAGACATCTTGAGATTAGATGACACCAAGGTCTTGTTTGAGCGAAAAGGTGTGGTGGTGCACGTCAAAATCGTTTGTGTTATGATTGTGAATCAGCCATATCCAGGACGAGCAATTGTGTGTTGGTTTTCAGGATAACCTGATGAATAAGATCCAAGATGGTCAACTGCCTGATACCAACAAACAATGCTTGTAGCTTACCACGCATTGCCCCCATCATATCATTCTACATACCAATGCCTCCAATAACCACGTATGGATCTATGGAAGTTTGTAAGATGCCTTGTTTACTTGGTAGCACATTTATACCCATTTGGTGTGTTGCTTACCTTTCGGTAGGCACAGTGTGCACGTTAAACACCAGACTATTAGCAGCATGAAGGGAGCCACCAGACTCGGTGATATATCTTTTGCATTGGATGGGCAATCTCCAAGCGTGCAATTTGGATCAGAAGGACAGATGATGAAACAGGTACCAGTGGCGAAAATCAGGTACTTCCATGATACGGTAACCAAGATACGGATGATGGTAACGATTGTTTAGGAAATGCTGAATGGTGAAAGTCGACAAGCAGTGAAAGTCGCGAGTTAGGAATAGCGACCAAGCATCGAAATGAGTGCAATACAGGCATTTTGTGGCATAAAGGGAGCTTGTTGACTTGTTGCCCATGGTCCCTGGACATCTTGGTAGATGCGTAACTTGTCATTATATGCCGAAATACTGCTTGTATAGGTTACCACGAATGTCCCCAATGTATGCTACCGTACGATCTCCGTTAGTATTTTGGGAAACAATGATAATTGAAAGTAAATACGTACCATAAACAATGCATTCAACCAAGTTGTGTACTTCCATGGTCTAATAATACAATGAATGCAATGGCGTGCTTTATTGCCTTGTGACACATTTGAGCAAGGTCAAACTCATCACCATTGTGCGTTGCATCCTTGTGATTTACATGCCATGCTTAATCCCGTCCAATCCATCCACAAGGTCAAGTGCAATAAATCCAATGGCGTCGCTAGACGATGATCCTGCTTTAATCCAATATTCCGTTACCAAGCCTCGGATGCTGGTATACCTTATACATACCATATATGAACGTTGAAACATCTTTTCATGCTTTGCTCTTGCTGCAATATCACGTGATGAGGTCGCTTGATAAAGGTTGCTAGTGTTCATTGTAAGAAGGTCATCGAGATGGAATGCCAACCTATCCCTTTGCTACAAACCTTTCAAGTGGTCTTACTTGCCTTGTCAACAGAGGATTCGTTCCCACCCTTGAACAGGATCTCTTTCTCCATTCCTGCTGAAGGTTGCTATTGTCGCCATTGCTGAACCACAAGAGCTGCAACAGACATGCATATGAGAATACACAACGAAGAAAGGCAAGTTTGCTTTTACACGCTAATAACACGCTACTCACGTTCATACACACCTTTTCTCACACATCGCTTGCTAATGAGGGCTTCCATGTCGAAGCACGATTGCGGCGTTGGGTCTGAATGGACAAGAAGCAGCAAGAAGAAGACGAGTGCACACCTACACCCACCCTTCGAAGTTAGTCTCTGCCCTTCATACACTCATACAATACCTACAACAACCTGTGGTAACGCTTTCATAAACGTATCTTTTATTATCATCATATACAAGAAGCGGTGTTCAAGGGGGGGAAGTCAGGCTATTGCTGCGGTATGGCTATAATACAACTACACCTAACAATACCACCTTGCCACTACCACACCTATACCCTTTTATTAGCAAGTGATATAAAGATAGTTTAGACAGACTTGTTTACCCATTCCAACTGCAATTGAGAAGGATCATGACATTGGATTAGGCAAATGGGGTGAAATGGGGTGACGTGCTCTTGGTAATAAAATAGACGTTTCCAGCTCAACGAATTTCTTCCTCTTTCTTCCCAACTTTTTTCAGTCTGCTACTTTCATAATGCTCTGCTTCGCGCTTTCCGCTATTTCTCTCTGCTTTTCTGAACCTGCTCTTCTTGTTGCGTTTCCGTTTGCTTGCCTTGTGCAGCTTTTGGGTGTCCCTGCCGCGTTCTCGTTTGCCTTTGGCTACGTTCTTTCTCACTTTTGGCCTTCTTTTGTTGCCTATTGGTCCTCTTTTGTTGGCTTCTTGAAGAAGTGCATGTCCATTTCCAACCCCCGTTCTATGAAACGTTTGCTTCAAGCAAAACCAACCTCGAACTTCAAGTCGCCTGTGTCCCCACCTTTGGCTGGCCTTGTTGTTGAATGCCTCTCTCCTCGCGCGGAAGGTCTTCAAGTACGCTCTGTTCACGCTGTACGCTTTTCTCCTTCTTTCCGTTGTCCTGCTGGTGTTCCCTGTGTCCATGAGGGTAACCAAGTTGTCTCTGGCTGTTGCGTTGGTCTTGGTGCTGCTCTTCGCTCTGCTTCTCATGTTGCTCCTTCTTGTGTTTCGGCTGTTGGCGATGCTGTTGGTGGTGATTCTCTTGTCGTTGGTGATTCTGATGTCCCTCCCAGTGGCGAAGTTGTTGGAGGTGATCCTGTTGATGATGGTCCTGTTGAGATTCCTGCTGTTTCTTTTGTTGGTGATGCCGTTGAAGCTTCTGGTGTTCGTTGTGCTGATGATGGTGTTGTTGAAGACACTCATCCCGTTGCTGCTGCTGATGATGACGATGTTCCTGTTGGTGGCGAAGCCCTTACTTTTGGTGGTGAAGCCGTTCCTGTTGCTGTTCGTGGTGCTGATGACGCTGTTAGTGGTGAAGCTGTTGATGTTGCTTTTGCTGGTGAAGCCGTTCCTGTTGCTGTTCGAGGTGCTGATGACGCTGTTGGTGATGAAGCTGTTCGTGTTGCTGTTCGTGGTGCTGATGACGCTGTTCGTGGTGAAGCTGTTCGTGTTGCTTTTGGCGATGAAGCTCTTGGTGTTGATGAAGATGCTGTTGCTCACGTTGGTGAAGATGTGCCCGCTGTCCTTGCTGTTCGTGGTGTTGCTATTGCTGATGATGCCCCTGCTGTTCCTGCTGTTGGTGACGAAGCTGCTGTTGATGGTGTTGACGATGATGATGTGTTTGACGAGCTTGGTAAGTATATATCCAAAGTCGTTCTTCCTAAATTATACAAGATTCTAACAATTGAATCCTATATAGCCTTCCTCTTTCACCACTTGAGTGTGGATGATCCATTTGATGAGGACACGCACATGGCGGAACCTGTTGACTGGCGGTATGTGGAGCCACGTGATGATATGGATGTTGGTAAGTGGTACCTTTAGCTACATGGATTGGCAAGCTGAAAGACATATATACTCACATGGGATAATGGTGTTTAGATGACGATTTGCTTTCCGTCATGTCAATCAGTTTGGGCAACTCTCCTTTCTTCCATGACGATGATCCAATTATGATTGGTAAGTGTGAACGTCTCTTATATAAACATAGCATCTAATATGCAGCTATTACTTAGATATGCCTTCTCCTCTTTTACCACCACGGCCCGCAACACCTCCTCCATCACCTCCACCATCACCTACGCCCATCCCTATGGAGGTTGATACAACCATCATCACTACCGCCACCACCACAATCACCACTAACACCGCCACTACAACCACTCCTATGCCCAATCTTATCCCTGATCCCATTCCTGTCATTGCCACCACCACTACCGATATCGTACCTATTACCACTACTTCCGCTACCGCTATTGTTACCTCTCCTCCTCCTAGTCCTCCTCTCAATCCCGCTATGTCATTCATTTTATCACGAATTCAACACCTCCGCACTCGTACAACACCATCATCTAATTCCGCAACACCCACTTCTGCTACTACTACACCCACCACTAATGCCGCTATCACCGCCTCCTCACGTCCTCTGGTCAATACCAATATGCCACCACCACCACCTCGACCACGACGCATCACTCTTACCGTTACGCCACCCACCACATCATCATCATCCACCGCAACATCCACTCGTTCCTCTGGTATTGTGCGACCAGATATGCCTCCTCCTCCTCCACGACCACCACGAGTAACCGCAACACCTTCTTCTACTTCTCGCCGATCCTCATCATCATCATCATCATCAAACACCGCAACCACTTCAACACGTCGTGAATCCGCACAATCCCAACAACAACAACAACCTGTCACCACCACTTCCGCAACACCATCATCATCATTACCTTCCGATGTGCGTGAATCACAAGAGGCCCTTGGCCTATTTGATTGAACGAGTTTGTCGGTGCCTTTTTGGTAAGTCAAAAATGTATGTATTGTACTTTTGGAACTATTGTTTATATATTTCCACTTGCTTATAGGGGCGATTTGGTTGGTGATCCTTTTCCTTGAGGACGTTTTATGCTTACGGATGGGATGCCCTGCAGTCCAGATTCAAGGCGTGGACGATCCTCAGGTACGTTCAGCTTCATGTGTGTTGAGTGAAAGGGTCGGCATGTAGGTCTCGCGGTGGGAGGATCTGGAGGGTCATCGATGACGCTACCTTGGGTGCTGTAAGAGCCAACGAGAAGTTCCAATTGGTATCCATGATCCAGTACGCTATGTGCAAGACCTTGCATTCCTATGTCCTCTCATGGTCTGCTTGTTACGTTACCCACTGAGGTGCTTGTTTTGATCTTGAAAGGGTAAGTCAAAATACTGTTGTTGTCGTATGATCCATTTACTTACAAATGTCGCTTTTATGATGTGGGGGCCATCATGGTTATTGATACTGTGATGTGTCCCTGCATAGTGAGACCGCCTTTACATGTTGGATGATCATGTTTTGGCACAAGCGGGAATCATCTATGAAGTGGGTATCTGCAAACGAACATCAAGACATGGTGGGCAAGGCATCATAGCCTGGGGATTGGAGAAGGTTGGACGTCGTTGGATCCGGTACCCTTGGTGCAGAGGATAAGACTTTGAAGGATCCGTGGGAGGGAAAGAGGCCTGCATGTTGATTCCTTTCACTCTCCACATGGGGTTGGATGTGCCTGGGATGACATGCCGCGTCTTGTTTCTGGTTCTGTAGGGTATCCCTGTGAACAGGTTATGGTCATAGGCTATGGTATGTATTGAAATACAAATGGCTATGTCTTTTCAAAACACTAATGGATGTCTCTCTTAACAATAGGCCTTGGGCCCTTTTGGGGCTATTGTTATGAGCAGCGGCTGTTGTCGCGGAGGACAGGAGTTCTCTTTTCTTTTTATTGGTGTCGTTACCGATTCGGACATTGGGCATATGGTGGATACCAATGGGCACACGCAAGGGTTCTCTTTTCTTTTTATGGATGGTGCAATGATATGGAGGCATCGTTGTCATGGGAACAAGGCGCAAGAGTTCTCTTTTCTTTTTACTGGTGCCATCGTCAAGATGAACACATGGGTGGCCATGGTTACAAGTCTCAAGCTTTCTCTCGCTCCTTTCATTGGCATTGCGACATATTAAGAGGCTATCATCATGGCTACAACGCAAAAGGTGTCCCTTTCGAGAATACTCGATCGGTGCTATTGCCAAGTTGAACACATTTATCCCTATGGCTACAACGCAATGACATTGCATTGCATGCATCTTATTCGCGCTATTACCTATTTGGACACATTCATTGTCATGGCGACAGAGCAAAGGAGTTCCTTTTCAACCTACTGGCATGGTTACCAATTTGATCACATTGATCACCAAGGCGACAAGGCACAAGGAATTGCTTTTCATTTTATTGGCCGGACACATTTATCGCCTTGGCTACAGAGGAGAAAGACCTTTCCCTTCTATTGGCGGCGTTACCTATGAGGGTCACTTATCATCATTGGTCAAGCACAGCGGGGTCCGTTTCAATCGACGTGGTGGTGTCACTGAATTCGGGGATTTATTAGCATGGCAACAAGGCACAAGGGCTTCTTTTTCTTTTATTCGATGAGGCGATTCGTTGCGATGCAGCTATTATCTTTGATCCACTTGCATACGGTCCTGCTTGTTTCAGTAGTTGGCGATCCTCTCTGCGATACGATACATGGTTATGGCATCAAGATGCAGCTGACCACGCTCTCGTTTTATTGCCATTATGGTGGCAGCAGCACCACAATGAGGACTTGGCCTATTGTACTCTATATCCGACAAAGAATGACACGTACGGGACCGCAATGGCATTGAGGAAGGCATTGACATCGCAAACGACACAATTGTTATGGCTCCAATTGCGAAGATCCATACCTATGGCATCAAGGATGGATTATCACAAGGGTCCTTTGGATACTGGTGGCATTTATCACTTGAATTGATTCGCAACACACAACTGTGACGATGATTTTATGGCCCATGGGGGAACCAGGGCACAACTGCAGGTGTCTCTTTATGTTGACATGATATCGCATTGGCGGCATGTGCATCAAAATGATCTTTCGAGGAGGCTTTCCTGTTATGATTCGGCATCATCAAGATATTCCAATTCAATGGCATGAGGGGCGCATCACGATTGGCATTTGCAGAAGTGGCTATTGCCAGTGGTCACGATTCACAGAACATACATGGTAGCGGATGGCGAGGATATCTCATCTCTTGGTGACGGGAGCATGCTGTGAGTTGCTACGCTTTCGAATGGGGGACCAATTGGAACCAATGCACATGCTATGCCGTTATATTGGATTTTTTCATCATCTACACTCGATGTGATCAAGAAGGCTATGAATTCATATGCACATGAGTCATATGGCGTCGCAAGAGCATTCACAGTATCACCCACGATGGTTATCAACATTCAAGTCTGGATTTTTCCACAAAGCCGTATCAATCCAAAGATGCCTGGTGGTCCGTGGACCTTTTCCTATCATTGGAGGTTCATGCATGATTACGGACAACATGACAAAGACACAAAATCACGTTACCAAATCATCATGGTCGACATTGCAGCCAAAGTCAAGAACAAACCAATCAAGGATCGACTACTAAAAACGTACGTATATGATTCCAAAGCCTATTTATTACCATGACGCTTACCGTATCATTATATAGATCCAATCATGGAATGTCTGTACCATATCACAGCGGTCCTGGCGATCGATTCTGGATTTCCTATGCACAGCAATTGCAAGATTCCACATATATATTTCAAGACAAATCAATCTATGGCTCTCTCTCTATCTCACTCGTACGCGCATACACGTTCATCAATCATTTCAATCAGGCGCTCAAACAATCACAAACACAAACCATCAAAGCAAGTATCAATGGGTGAATTGGTTGGCATACAAGGTCCATGTATTAACAATGCTGTTATAGAACAAACATGCCGAGAAACAAACGTCAATGGCATCAAGACCGGTCTGGAGGATATGTATCGCTTTGTCGTTCAGGGTCACAGGGCACCGTGCGTTCACCGATTAAGAGTCGCCTGGCCGTTGGGTGCCGTGCTGAATCTGCTCAACAATCTCGACCATCACTCAAATAAGGACTGGCATTCAATATCATCAAAATCAAGAGAGCCTGAAAGAAAAGTATGTATATGATTGGCATTGTCAAGAATGAGGAGTAGATACTCATTGCGGGCTACTAGAAAAAGAAAAAAGAAGAAAAAATAAGAAAAAGAAGAAAAGTGGGACTTGCAAGAACTGTGCCAGGAGAACTTGGATCATGCTGGAATCGGTGTTTGACCACAAACGGCCTTACGTTGGCACAAGTGAAAGGATACTCAAAAGCATATACGCGCTCCACATGATAATGGGTAAGTACCTTCTGGTCATTTCTTTATCATGCTATTGCTAATATCATCATCCGTAGGTTGATTACTATGCTCATCAAAGCTGCTTTTAATCCAATGGGGGCATATCAAGTCGAGGACACAGCACCCAATCAAGGACATTAAGGAGCACTCACGAGTGAAGCAGGAATGAAGAATAACCTCTACGAAGCGATGGAAACACGCATACAGTGGAAAATGTGTATTGATATGGGCATTGTAAGTATAAAGGGCATGGGTGATCCTTTGCCAGCATGAATACTAATACCTCGGATATATGGTAGAAGGTGCTGCATTTATGAACAACGCGGCGGAAAAAGACGGCCTGCTTGAAGTTCCCCTCAACGTATTATTGAGGCATTGCTCTTTGGTGGTGAGAGCACTCGAACTAGTGGTGGTCATCAATGCCTTGCCAGATCTCTAAATCAGTATACTACTTGTAATCATACTACTACTTGTAATAATATCATACATACATATATAAGCTCATGCATAATAAAGCATGCAGGATTTGTTACAGTAGATCATGCTTTGCTTTATGATTAAGCATATATACGAAGCATTAGAATCCATAGGCTACAATGCTGGTCATCATGCAACACGTATGATTAGCTTTGAACGCACGTTCATCCTGATAGAGAATAGCAATAGAGTGAGGTGGACTAGATTTGTAGCTATATACATCATCCATGTAGGTAATACAATGCCCTCTTTGAATCGGCACAATTCATCCTGGTGCCTCTTTTACAATTACACACTGCACCTGTGTATTTGAAATACGCGAAATGAAAGGATACGATCTGCGGATACAGCGAGTATCTGGCATCCGTGGTCCATAGTGAGGTGAGGATATTTTTGAATCATCAACATGTATGTTTAAGGGTGCACTTATTACACGACCGTATTGGGTAATTCATTATCAATGGTATCATGATAAATTAAGTATGGTCTCACCCTCTTGTCAACCACAGTGACCAGGGCAATGGCACTATGTCACAAGTTTTATTTTCCCAGAAGACTATCCTCATACTGCTAGCTAAACGCTAATCCATATCATCCACCAGTATCCCAATCCAAACGCTCTTTACCAAATTGGTGATGACTTTCTCCAGCATGCGAAACCTCCAAATTCAATGAATGTATAGGAAGTCTGAACCTTGGTGAACAAGGATTTGGAGAAAAGTTCATCATCAATGCCTACCTCCTCAACCAAGTGATCACCGTCATACTGCTTTCACCAGATCCATATGTATAAGAGAAAGCATTCGAGGGATGAATCGTTTCATACCATGGAGGCAAAGGGATGAAGGCACACGAAGCCTCGATCGTGCTGAAAAACTTGTCGAGAAGTTTGGGTGCAGTGTCTGGTAATCCGAGTGCTGAAAGAGTCACATGCAAAAAGTGAACAAGCGTGTATGCATCGAAGGTAGACTTCTGATGATGACGATATTGATGATGATGATGATGATGATGATGATGATGATGATGATGATGATTAGTCTTGCATTGCAACGATTCACATGTCATGCTTGTTGCCACGCACGATATCCATGTTGCCAGGCACCAAATGCCAACGTATAATTATCTTATGGCCAAATCGCGTACCTTACTTTGTACATACCATCCCCAAATTCGAAAGACCTCGTCGTTCTCTGTTGCTGCTTTGCCGTCACGTTGATAGGATCGGTGGATACGGTGCGAAAAGCTTCGGGCACCACAATTCCGCTCTCGGGCACCACAACATTCCACGTGATTTTGGGTTGCACGTGACCCCTTGGGCACCACATTGCCTATGCTGATCCCACTCGGGCACCACATCCATTAGAATCATTCAATGCTTGTATGTATGATACTAGCCATTCACAAACACTTATATTGGGGCTATCATGTTAATAGGAAACGTTAATAGGAAATGTTCATATTTATTGTTGTTTGGTAATATTGTTTGCATACGAAGTGTTGTAGCTTGATTTGGTGATGACTTCGGTTGATGTCGATGTATGTTGCATAAAAAACATTGAAGGGCTTAATGGCATAAATATACTAGGGCTCGATAATAATAGTTGCAGCATGTATCTCTTCTTCTGTAAGCTTAGGTTTTGAAGGCTCTCGAAGGCCTTCATACATGATGACTTTTCTTGAAACAAGCTGCTGCCAAATCATGCTACTTGCAGATGCATAACGTTTCCATCCATGAGCTATCTTTGGAACAGGCGATCCGGGTTTAAGGTTGACACTAACAAAGTGAGAGCGAGAGCCAAGAAGTGCAATTGCAATGCCAGGATTACGGTTGAGGGGACATGCGTCTGGCAAGAAAGTGAAGCATTCATGTGGGGAAAAATAGTACAAGGGTCGTTCAAATGCATTAGCAAGTACATAACCTGCCAAAGGCATCATCATCCATTTCGATGTATCTTCTACGCACGAGCCATTAAACCAATGTAGGGATGTCGCCAATTCATCATAATCGGATTCAAGGCCAAAGAGCTTGCGATAGTGATCGGGACGGGATTGTAGTTCATCCAAACAACGACGACGGATAAATGGCCATTCTTCTTCATTCATCTCTAAGCCAACAGCATATGCTCGGAATCCACAGTTACCATCAGCACGAACATTCCTCATTGAAGATATCCAATCAACCATGAAATATGGTATATCCTCTGTTCTAATACTGGCAGCAACGAGGGAGTCGTTAGCTCTTTCTGCTGCTTGCTTCCTAATACATACATACTTAGTCAAAAATGCAAGGTACATATTATGGGATCTTTTCGTACACTTCCTGCTTCAAATTAAACACCACTCGGATTTTCTTAGGAGGCTGTTCATGTGGTGTACTTTCTGATGCTGGCCGTTTCCCCTCGTTTTCATCATCTTTGGGACACTCATCTCCATGATCACTCACACTTGATTTCTCTCGCTCCTGTGCCTTGGAATCAGCTGGTACCGGTAAGCGTTGGGATCCCTTGGGGCGCCCACGATGCTTCATTTTTTGAGGAGGATTGAGATCTTCAAGCGCGGTGGTAGGAGCATCTAAGATACTTTGCAATCTTTCAAGAATCCTACGTCTCTCTTGATAATCCCTCGCCTTGTTAATCTTATCTTGCAATCGATACAAGATAGTCAGAGAGTTGTTATCAGTGGCAATGTTGACATCCGCATTGCTGTTACTTGTAGTACATGCATCCTCATCTTTTTCATTCTTGCCATTTGCAATCTGGAGGTCTTTTTTCTTCATGTCAATATGTTACACGATCAAATTCACAGCTTAAAAACAAACCTGCAGTATGCTTATCCAAGCATAAATGCCATCTGAGATGTACAAGCGATATTGGGATAGGCTCGGTCGTTGGCAGAATATGATAGCATGGTATTCCAAAATTCACACGGATCTTGCAATTACATGCCAATGGCTGGGAATCGCTTTCACTTGGTTCGATAGGTTTATCCACCTTATCCTTCTTGCCCACCTTTACAAGCTCTTTCTTGATCTTATCGACGGCATATTGCGATACCTTCCCAATCAAATGCTGTAGCTTCTCTTTTACATGCTCTGGCATGAAGTGATCATGGGCCATTTTGTTTTTCTCGATGGCAATGCTTTCGTTCTCATTCTAGGTAAAGTCGTGTTAATCATGTTCAATATCATAATAGCTCATAGTTTGCTTATGATTTTATTGTACCTGTAGCCTGATAAAGCGATCAATCTCCTTGATGCCATTGACGAGCGTGCCTGAGGCGGTAAGAAACTTCTTGATGGTTGCATGAGCACCTTCAACACGGTTGGTAGTCGTACATCCAAGATGGAAAAAGTGACATGTGTGCTTGCCAACCCAAAGCTCTTCCACTTCAAGCATTCTATGGATGAACAATTTAACCTTAATCTCATAGTTGTTCTTTCGATAAAGTTCTCTAGCGCTTACCTATCCAAGTACTTAACGATTTCAGTCGACTTGCTACTGGTATTGGCAACTTCCAAGAAATCAGATTTGGCTTTTTGGTATGATGATTCATTGTCGGAGCAGATGAGACCATCAACAGCTTTCAGTAATGCCTTATGCTTTTCAACATCGCCATCAAATCCTTTAAGGCAGTTCTTTGGAAGTTTTTCCTAATGTGAACGGTGCAAAGCATAAATGTTGTATCCCGGTAAGTGGTCTTGATAGCACCAACAAGCGATGGATCATAATCAGTTACAATAACACCGGGGACCTTGTCAACGGGTTTCCAAATGAGATCATGGAGCTCCTCTGCGACCCAAGTGTATGATTCCTTTGTCTCGTTTGAAATCCATGCACCAGCAATTGCAAATGTCTTTAGCTGCTCACTTTTGGATCCTACGTTGCTAACACCAACGACATTGACATATGGCATCTTGTACATATTTGTCTTATATGTAGCATCCATGATTACTACCTCTGAAAACCTTTGTGCATTCTTAATGCAGCTAGGATGGGCAAAAAGGAGGCTTGTAAGCTGTTTGTTGCTGTTGTATTGGTAACGGACTTGATAACCTCGTGCATGCAGGTACTGTCCCATATACGCCATATTACAACCATTGCTGTTTTCAGAGATGGCTTCACGATTCTTGATATTGGATACGTCTTTAGGAATCATTATCTGGTTGCCGTCCATGTCACGCAAAGCATCGCATATATTTGATGGTGTCGCCTTTGCTTGAATCATTTCTAGTACACGTGCGAATTGGTCTTCTGTTAACTTGCGATGCTGATGGAAGATTCGGTAATTGTCAACCATGTCGTGGTTATGCTGATCATTTATAGACCAAGCTTCCCAACATCCACTCTTCGTTGGCCTGGCCTTGATTAGGAAAGGGCACTCCTTACGCCAGGAGTCACGCTTGATCTTTCGAGTCTCTTCGGTTAGGCCATGGCAGTTTTTTGGTTGTCCACCGCAACGGCATTGTAAATGCATATGGCGTTTACTAGAGTTCTTGGTCGTGACACAGTAACCTTCAGCTTTGGCAATGATTTGAGCAGCATCATATAGCTGTTTCTTGGTATCAAAGAGACGATTGTATAGCAAGGACATGTTATTACAATAGGGAAAACAATCACTATTCCAAAATCACCTTGATGTCACAACATTTATTTAGTTTTTCAATACACGCTTTCTTTATCTAAAAAAGGATACTACGAACATGCAACTAAGGGTCATACATACAAGCATTGAATGATGCTAATGGATGTGGTGCCCGAGTGGGATCAGCATAGGCAATGTGGTGCCCAAGGGGTCACGTGCAACCCAAAATCACGTGGAATGTTGTGGTGCCCGAGAGCGGAATTGTGGTGCCCGAAGCTTTTCCCGATACGGTTGTTGGTATGGATCACAAGCATCATGCCCATATAGAAAGCCAATGAATCCCTTTGTTGCACACCGTTCAAGTCGTCTTGGTTGTACCATAAACAAGTACTCGTCGCAGACCTGGAACAGAATCTCTTTCGCCATTCCTCCCGAACACCGCCATTGTTGACATTGCTGAACAAAAGAAAGTTGAAAAAGACAAACACATCAGTCTACCCAAACAAGAAAGGCAAGTAGGCTGTTATACCCTATCAACACGTTGCTTACCTTCATTGGCGCCCTTGCGCATATGGTGGTGGTTAATGAGGGGCTCCCATGTCGAACCATAATCGCGTTGTTGTGAGGTCTGGGTAAGGAGCAGCAAGGAGAAGCTGGGTAAAGGAGGCACCTTTTTGACAAACACGCGTGAAAGTTATTCACTGCCCTTCGCACATGCATGAAATACACTCCGCTATCATGGCCTACGCAACCAATCTCCATGGCAACATGGTTTGTTCAATTACTTCCTTCCAATAAGATCCTGAACAATTGGTAGAGCTTCATTCACATACGACACAAGGCACATAAACATGGTCGCTATATAGAAGATAGGACACATTGTATCATATATAGAAGATGAGCATAATAGGTGCGTTTGTATATAAGAGAAGCTTTATCAATAAAAGTAAAAACTAGCAGCTGCAAACTGGTATGAGTCATCGTAACAATTTAAAATGTCAGTGATAATGCAAGATGGACCTACGCTTTTCAATGATCAATGTTTTCTTAGTTCCAATCCATGTCATTAATGCTGGCATTTTGTGTCCTTATCATAATCCACCAATCCACCATGATTAGAACCACGAAGGATAGCGGAGGCAACACCACCTATCAGCTAGTATGAACGATTTCTCTGTATACTGATATTGACAGTGTCTTTGTGTACAAATGAAATCCATCCGCCATGGAGAATGCGTAGCGCATCTTTTATTCAACCAGCAAAATCCACTCAAGAGGGCCAATTCAATCAGTGACTAGCTCGCCTGTTGCAGTTGTATGAGTGCCGAGGTTAATTCTATCCTAATGCACACCATCCAAAACCATTGCATCGCACCACAACAGCAATCGTGTTTCATAATGCATGCTTGTTCACAAACGCCCATCACTTACTAGCTCCACCCATCTTGGTGATAATGCAAGATCATTCATCAAATGTCTAATATCGATATGGGCAATTTCATGCATACGATGCTAGTGGTCATTGAAGGATGGTAATCTGGATGCTGTGCCATCCATTCGCTTACTTGGGCGATAGCGAATAATGGCTATCAATGGTGACTCACGAGAACTTTCATTGTTCTTGACGGCTACCAATGATCTGGTTGTGTTCAATGGTAATGATGATGACAGCGCTTGCATATGGTATGATTGAAATAGCAAATGAACATAAAGACACTTCCTTTGGCATACAGGTCGCAAAACTAGCTATCTTTATTATATTATATGAGCTTGTAGGAGATCGCGTTAATGATATTCAACGTGATAAAAAAAAGCATCCAAGTTTGTATGCAGGTTGTTTTGATCTTATCGACCTTACAGTTTACGAGAGATGGGTTATAGCTCCTCTCCCATATAAATGGATTCACGCATCTCGTCACCTAGCACGTGAGGATGAAGGCATCACGCTGTAGGATCTCAATCGTCCAATCTATCCAACCTAGCAACAATGGTGTTGGTATCATATACGGCTCCTAAAGCAACGGATAATGAATGGCTATCCGACGATGGCTTTTGTCAAGAAGAATATAACTTTTGATTAATCCTTTGTTGCTGGAATGATACCATCAAGGCGAAAGCAGGTGACAATGACTATATGCTTTAGGATTCCATCATGTCCATTTTGTGGTCCTCCATCTCTTTTTCAATTTGACTCATGTAACTTTTATTTTAAAGGGCTGGAAGGCTATCCTACTACACCTAGCACGCTAACGTGGTTCACCTACCATGATCGTAAACCGAACAGCTCCTACGATAACGATATTGCTTGTATCCAATGTCCATTTTCCAGAGATCCGATGAATACATTCCTGCCAATCTTGACCTCTTCCAGGATGGGTATCCCAAGGGCTCAACATCAGGTACACGTAGCTTGTTCGCCTAAAAAATTGCACGCAGTGAATCCATAAGCCAATACATGCCATAGGAGTAACGCATAGCGAACGTATCCACCCAGACCATGTACCTCCATGCTCCAATACAACCGATGTAATGGCTTGCTTCGTTGTCTTGTGGTACCTTTGAGCATGATATCACTCATCTCCATTTTGCGTTGCATCCTTATGATTTGCATGCTATACTTGGTGCCATCCAATCCATCCATAAGCCAGGCGCCATAGAGCCAGCGATATTGATTGATCATAGGCCTGTTCTGATCCATTCGTTATCTTTTTATCTTTTGTAATGTCTCATTCCAATCCCTTGGATTATCGTTGTACTTATACATACCATCTTCAGAAGATGAAACATCATGTCATGCTCTCCTCTTGTATTGCCCACCACGTGATCACGTCGCTCGATCAAGGTTGCTTGGTCATTGTAATAATGTCATCACGATAGAATGCCAATGAATCCCTTTGCTGCCCACCTTTCACATGGTCCTGCTTTCCCTACCAATAGAGTATACGTTGGCACCCTTGACCAGAATCCCTTTGTTCCCTTTCCCCATTCCTCCTGAAGGTTGCCATTGTCGCCATTACTGAACCAGGAAGGCTGTAAAAGACAAGCATATGAGTATACACAACGAAATAACGGCAAGTTGGCTCTTACACTCTAACAACACGCTACTCACCTTCATACACGCTCTTTTTCACACATCGCTTGCTAATGAGGGCTTCCATGTCGAACCACCATTGCGGCGTTAGGTCTGAATGGGCAAGAAGCAGCAAGAAGAAGACGAGCACACACCCATACACGCACACAAGTAAATTAGCCTCTGCCCTTCACACATGCATACAATAAACAACACCACCATTCATAACGCTTTCATAAACGTATCCTTTATTATCATTATATGACAAGGGGCGGTGTTCAAGGGGTGCAAAGGCTATTGCTGCGGTATGGCTACAATACAACTACACATAACAATACCACCTTGCCACTACCAAACCTATACCCTTTTATAAGCAAGTGATATAAAGATAGTTTAGACATACTGGTTTACCCATTCCAACTGCAATTGAGAAGGATCATGACATTGGATTAGTCAAATGGGGTGAAATGGGGTGACGTCGTCTTGGTAATAAATTGCCCGTTTCCAGCTCAACGAATTTCTTCCTCTCTCTTCCCAACTTTTTTCACTGCTACTCTGCTACAATGCTTTGCTTCACGCTCTCCGCTATTGCTCTCTGCTTTTCCGAACCGGCTATTCGCCTCACGCTCTTGTTTGCTTGCCTTGTGCAGCTTTTTGGCTTCCCTGATACGGTGTTGCTTTCTCTTTGTCTCTTTCAAGACACGTTGTGGTGTTCTTTTGTTGGCTTTTTGCCCAAGCGGGTCTCTGTTGCGAACCCCCGTTCTTTGGAACGTTCGAATGACACCAATGCCACCTTGACCATGAAGTCGCCTGTTCGCCCACCTTTGTCTGGATTGGTTGTCACTTGCCTCTCTCCTCAGCTCGAAGTTCTTTCTTCTCACGCTGTTCGCTTTTCGCCCTCGTATCGTCCACCTGTTGGTGTGACATGTATCCATGATGGCAACAAAGTTGTCTCTGGTTCTTGTTGCGGTTTTGGGCCCACTTTGTCCTCTGCTCTTGCTGCTGGTGCTGTCTCTGCTCGTCAAGAAGCTGTCTCTCGTCCTGTTGTTGGTGTTGTTCCTGCTTGTGGTTCTGATGTTGGTGATGCTGTGGTCTCTGGTGATGATGTTGTTGTTCCCGCTGTTGGTGTTTCTGCTGTCCCTATTGGTGACGAAGCTGCTGGTCCTGATCCTGTTGGTGCTGTTGTTGATGACGTTCTTGCTTCTGATGGCGATATCTCTGAAGATGGTGGTGATTCTGTTTCTGCTGGTGATGACGTTCGTGTTGGTGACGACCTTGGTGCTGTTCGTGATGAGGGTGTTGAAGCCGTTGGAGAAGACTTTGCTGTTGGAGAAGACGTTCCTGCTGTTGGTGATGACGATGTTGTTCGTGGTGTTGCTGTTGCTGAAGATGTCCCCGCTGTTCTTGCTGTTGGTGGTGTTGCTATTGGTGAAGATGTCCCTGCTGTCCCTGCTGTTGGTGACGAAGCTGCTGGTGTTGGTTTTGACGATGATGATGTGTTTGACGAGCTCGGTAAGTATATATCCAAACACGCACTTCCTGAACTATACAAGATTCTAACAATGAATCCTATATAGCCTTCCTCTTTCACCACTTGACAGTGGATGATCCTTTTGATGAGGATACGCATATGGCAGAACCTGTTGACTGGCGGTATGTGGAGCCACGTGATGATATGGAAGTTGGTAAGTGGTACCTTCAGGCACATGGATTGGCAAGCTGAAAGACATATATATTTACATGTGATGATGGTTCTTAGACGACGATTTGCTTTCCGTGATGTCAATCAGTTTGGGCAACTCTCCTTTCTTTAATGACGAAGACCCGATTATGATTGGTAAGTGCGACCATCTTTTATATAAACATACAATCTAATATGCAGCTATCACATAGACATGCCTTCTCCTCTTTTGCCACCAAGACCCGCAACACCTCCACCATCACCTCCTCCATCACCTACGCCAATCCCTATGGAGGTTGATAACACAATCCTTTCTCCCACCGTCACCACTACCGCTGCAACCACAACTTCCACTAATACCGCCACTATTACTATGCCTATGCCCAACCTTATGCCCGATCCCATTCCTGTCATTACCACAACTACCGATATCACACCTGCTACCACTACTACCGCTACCGGCATTGTCACCTCTCCTCCTCCTAGTCCTCCTCTTAATCCCGCCATGTCACTCATTGTATCACGCATCCAACAACTCCGTCACCGTACACGCACAACATCATCATCCAATTCCGCACCACCCACTTCTGCCACTACTACTACACCCACCACTAATGCCGCCATCACCACCGCCTCACGTCCTCTGGTCAACACCAATATGCCACCACCACCACCTCGACCACGACGCATCACACTCACCGTTACGACACCCACCACATCGTCATCTACCGCCACCTCCACTCGTTCCTCTGGTATTGTGCGACCAGATATGCCTCCTCCTCCACCACGACCACCACGAGCAACCGCAACACCTTCTTCTTCTTCTCGCCGAACCTCCTCCTCCTCGTCATCATCATCATCAAACACCGCCACCACTTCAACACCTCGTGAATCCGCATCACAACAACAACAACCTACAACCATCACCACTACAACCGCAACACCATCATCATCATTACCATCCGATGTGCGAGAAGCACAAGAGGCCCTTGGCCTTGATTGAACGAGTTTGTCGGTGCCTTTTTGGTAAGTCAAAAATGTATGTATTTTACTTTTGGAATTATTGCTTATATATTTCCACTTGCTGATAGGGGCGATTTGGTTGGTGGTCCTTTTCCTTGAGGACGTTTTCCGGTTATGGATGGGATACCCTATAGTCCAGTCTCAAGGCGTGGATGATTCTCAGGTACGTTCAGCTTCATGTGTGTTGAGTGAAAGGGTCGGCATGTAGGTCTCGCGGTGGGAGGATCTGGAGGGTCATCGATGACGCTACCTTGGGTGCTGTAAGAGCCAACGAGAAGTCCAATTGGTATCCATGATCCTGTTTGCTATGTACAAGACCTTGCATTCCTACGTCCTCTCATGGTCTGTTTGCTACGTTACCCACTGAGGTGCTTGTTTTGGTCTTGTAAGGGTAAGTCAAAATACTGGTATTGTTTTATGACCTATTTACTTACTATTATTGCTTTATGTTGTGGGGGCCCATCATGGTTATTGATGCTGTGATGTGTCCCTGCATAGTGACACCGCCTTTACATGTTGGATGATCATGTTTTGGCACAAGCGGTAATCATCTATGAAGTGGGTATCTGCAAACGAACATCAAGACATGGTGGGCAAGGCATCATAACCTGGTGATTGGAGAAGATTGGACGTCGTTGGATCCGGTGCCCTTGGTGCAGAGGATAAGACTTTGAAGGATCCGTGGGAGGGAAAGAGGCCTCATGTCGATTCCTTTCACTCTCCACATGGGGTTGGATGTGCCTGGGATGACATGCCATGTCCTTGTTTCTGGTTCTGTAGGGTATCCCTGTGAGCAGGTTATGGTCACTGTGTATGGTATGTATTGAAGCACAAATGGGTATGTCTTTTCAAAATGCTAATGTATGTCTCCCTTGACAATAGGCCTTGGGCCCTTGTGGGGCGATTGGTATCAGGAGCGGCTGCGGTCGCGGAGGACAGGAGTTCTCTTTTCTTTTTATTCGTATCGTCACCGATTTGGATCTTGGTGATATGGCGATTACCGTTGGGCACACGCAAGGGTTCTCTTTTCTTTTTATCGATATGGAGGCATCGTTGTCATGGCAACAAGGCGCAAGAGTTCTCTTTTCTTTTTACTGGTGCCATCGTCAAGCTGAACACATGGGTCGCCATAGTTACAAGTCTCAAGCTTTCTCTCGCTCCTTTCATTGGCATTGCGACATATCAAGATGCTATCATCATGGTTACAACGCAAAAGCTGTCTCTTTTCGAGAATGCTGTATCGGTGCTATTGCCAAGTTGAACACATTTATCGCCATGGCTACAACGCAACGACATTGCATTGCATGCAACTTATGCGCGCTATTACAGTACCTATTTTGGCACATTCATTGTCATGGCGACAAAGCAAAGGAGTTCTTTTTCATTCTACTGGCATGGCTACCAATTTGAACACATTGATCACCAAGGCGACAAGGCACAAGGAATTGCTTTTCATTTTATTGGCCGGACACATTTATCGCCATGTTTACAGAGGTGACAAGACCTTTTCCCTTCCATTGGCGGCGTTACCTATGACGGTTATTTATCATCATTGGTCAAGGCACAGCGGGGTCTCTTTCAATCGACGTGGTGGTGTCATTGAATTTGAGCATTTATCGGCATGGCAACAAGGCTCAATGGCTTCTTTTTCTTTTATTCGATGAGGCGATTCGTTGCGATGCAGCTCACCACGTTCTCATTTTATTGGGATTATGGTGGCAGCAGCAACACAATGAGGAATTGGCCTATTGCACCTTACATCCAACAAAGAATGACATGTATGGGAGCGCACTGGCATTGAGGAAGGCATTGAATTCGATCACGTCACAATTGGTATGGCTGCAATTGCGAAGATTGGTACCTATGGCATCAAGAAATGGATTATCACAAGGGACTTTTGGACACTGGTGGCATATATCACTTTGATTGATTGGCAACACGCAACAATCACGGTGGTTTTATGGCCCATGGGGGAACCAAGGCACTATTGCAGGCGTCTCTTTATGTTGACATGGCATCCCATTGGCGGCATGTGCATCAAAATGATCTTTCGACAAGGCTTTCCTATTACAATTCCGCATCATCAAGATATTCCAATTCAATGGCATGAGGGGCGGATCACTATTGGCATTTGCAGAAGTGGCTATTGGCGGTGGTCACGATTCACAGCACATACATGGTAGCGGATGGCGAGGACATCTCATCTCGTGGTGGCTGGAGCATGTTATGGATTAGTACGCTTTCGAATGGGGGATGAATTGGAACCAATGCCCATGCTATGGCCTTGTATTGGATCTTTCCATCATCTACACTCGATGTGATCAAGATGGCTTTGAATTCATATACACATGAGTCATATGGCGTTGCAAGAGCATTCACAATATCAACCACGATTGTTATCATCATTCAAGTCTGGATCTTCTCCACAAAGCCATATAAATACAAAGATCCCTGGTGGTCTGTGGACCGTTTCCTATCATTGGAGGTTCATGTATGGTTACGGAAAACATGACGAAGACACAAAATCACGTTACCAAATCATCATGGTCGACATTGCAGCCAGAGTCAAGAACAAACCGATCACGAATCGACTGCTAAAAATGTACGTATATGATTCCAAAGCCTACCTATAACCATGACGCTTACCATACCATTACGTAGATGCAATCATGGAATGTCTGTACCATATCACAGCGATCCTGGGGATCGATTCTGGATTTCCTATGCACAGCAATTGCAAGATTCCACATACATCAAAACAAATCAATGTATGGCTCTCTCTCTATCTCTCTCGTACGCGCATACACGTTCATCAATCATTTCAAACAAGCGCTATATACAACACAAACACAAACGTCAAAGCAAGTATCATTTGTGAATTGGTTGGCATACAAGGTCCATGTATTAACGATGCTGTTATAGAACAAACATGCCGAGAAACAAACGTCAATGGCATCAAGACCGGTCTGGAGGATATGTATCGCTTTGTCGTTCAGGGTCACAGGGCACCGTGCGTCCACCGATTAAGAGTCGCCTGGCCGTTGGGTGCCGTGCTGAATCTGCTCAACAATCTCGACCATCACTCGAATAAGGATTGGCATTCAATATCATCAAAATCAAAAGAGCCAGAAAGAAAAGTACGTATATGATTGGCATCATCCAGGATGAATAGTGGATTCTCATTGTGGGATCGTACGTAGAAACAAAAGAAAAAAGAAGAAAAGAAGAAAAAAAGAACAAAAGTGGAACTTGCAAGAACTTTGCTAGGAGAACTTGGATCACGCTGGTATCGGTGTTTGACCACAAACGGCCTTACGTTGGCACAAGTGAAAGGATACACAAAAGCATATATCAGCTCTCCGTGATAATGGGTAAGTACATCCGGGTCATTTCTTTACCTAGCTATTGCTAACATCATCACTCATAGACCTTATCGCTATCCACATCGAAGCTGCTTTCAATCCAATGAGGGTGTATCAAATCAATGGCATTACATCCAATGAAGGGCATGAAGGAGCAATGAGGAGCACTTACAACTGAAGCAGGAATGAAGAATAACCTCTACGAAGCGATGGAAACACGCATACAGTGGAAAATGTGTATTGGCACGGGCATTGTAAGTATAAAGGGCGTGGGTGATCCTTTGCCAGCATGAATACTAATACCTCGGATATATGGTAGAAGGTACTGCATTTATGAACAACGCGGCGGAAAAAGACGGCCTGCTTGAAGTTCTCGTCAACGTATTATGGAGGCGTTGCTCTTTGGTGGTGAGAGCACTCGAAACTAGTGGTGGTCACCTATGCCTTGCCAGATCTCTAAATCAGTATACACTTGTAATAATAATGTTACTTGTAATAATATCATACATATATATATATAAGCTCATGCATAATAAAACATGCAGGATTTATTATAGTAGATCATACTTCCCTTTAGGTTTAGCATACATGTAAAGCATGAGAATCCAGTAGGCTGCAATGCTGGTCATCATGCAACATGTACGATTAACTTTGAAACCACGTGCATCCGAATAGAGAATAGCGATAACATGAGGTGGACTCGATTTGTATATACATCATCGATGTAGGTAATAAAATGACCTCTTTGAATCGGCACGATTCATCCGGGTACCTCTTTTACAATTACACGATGCACTTGTGTACTTGAAATTCGCGAAATTAAAAGACGCGATCTGCGGACAGAGTGGGTATCTGGCATGTGTGGTCCATAGTGAGGTGAGGCTCTTTTTGAAGCATCAACATGTATGTTTAAGGGTGTAAGGGGTATTGGGGGATTCATTGTCAATGGTATCATGATCCATGAATCACGGTGCCCAACCTCGTGTCCAACACAGATATCATGTACTGGCACTTCGTCACAAGTTTTATTTTGAAGGGTCACAAGACTATCCTAATACCACTAGCGAAACACCAATCGACATCAGCCACCTGTATCCCAATCCCAAACGCGCTTTGCGAGAATCGTCATGAGTTCATCCGGCATGTGCAAATTACAGATTGGGTGGAAGCATACGAAGCCTCAACCTTGGTGAAAAGGATATCTAAAAGAGCCCATCATGCTTGCTTACCTCATTAACTCAAGTAAACATGCGATACTACTTTCACCATACACGAGCAATCCAAGACATGCTTAGCACTTGAAGGGCCGATCAGGAATACAAGGAAGGCAACGGGAGGAAGGCGATTGTGGTGACTAAAAGTTGTCGTAGAGTATGCGAACATTCCCTGGTGACCCGAGTGCTGAAAGAATCACATGCAAGAAGTTCGACAGCATGCATGCTTCGAAAGTTGTCTTTTTATTGATGATGGTGATGATGGTGATGATGGTGATGATGGTGATGATGGTGATTGTGATGGGGTGAGCAGCTTGAACTAATTAACACTTTTTGTTTTCAATCGTTTCCAGCTTCATGTATTCCACGTAGCGATGCCTGTGTTTTGGCAAATATCCAGACGGACGTACTGTAGACCATTGACCGAATAGATGGCGTGGGTTGACATGCGAAGCTTCCTTTAGAATACCCGATCACCGATTAACAAGCCATGAAATGAGAATTCTTTATCATGTTCACCAACCGTAAAGACCTCCAGAGCCTATTTCGAAAACGCCACGCATTAGTACTTCAAGCACCAATTACGAATGTATACAAAGACATACCGTAAAAGGAGACCCATGAAAAGTGACGCGCCGTGCAACAAGATCATCCAATGCGATGAATGTAATTGCTTGCTGCAACGTCTTGTGGCACCTTTGACGGAGCACAAGCCGACGACTAATATGCCTTGTATTGTATCGATCCACCTTTCAATGGCGTGCTTGTTGCCATGCATCATATCCACGTTGTCAGGCACTGGGTACAAATCGATCCAATGACCACGATTATTGAGGATCCTGCTTTCATCCATTAATCATCATCCCATTACCCACTCGCGTACCTTGCTTTACACATACCATCTCCCAAAGTCGAGACGCCTTCTTACGCTCTGTCGTTGGATTGCCAACACGTGATCGAGTTGCGAGATAAAGGTTGCTACTGCCGATCATAAGAAAACACGCCCATATAGAATACCAACGAATCAATTTGCTACACACCTTCCAAGTCGTATTCGTTCACCGATCAACAGCGCACCCTTTGCCATTCATGAACAGATTCTCTTTTTCCATTCCTTCTGAAGGTTGCCATTGTCGCCATTGCTGAACCAGGAAAGCTGCAACAGACGCGCATATGATTATTATACACAGCGAAGAAAGGCAAGTGGGTTCTTACACTCTAACAACACGCTACTCACCTTCATACACGCTCTTTCTCATACATCGGTTGCTAATGAGGGCTTCCATGTTGAACCACCATTGCGGCATTAGGTCTGAATGGACAAGAAGCAGCAAGAAGAAGACGAGTAGACACACCTACAGGCACAGAAGTAAATTAGCCTCTGCCCTTCACACACGCTTACAATCAACAACACCACCTCTCATAACGCATTCATAAACGTATCCTTTATTATCATTATATGACAAGGGGCGGTGTTCAAAGGGTGCAAAGGCTATTGCTGTGGTATGGCTATAATTCAACTACACCTAACAATACTACCACACCCATACCCTTTCATAGCAAACCATATAAAGATAGTTTGGACATACCTGTTTACCCATTCCAACTGCAATTGAGAAGGATCATGACATTGGATTAGCCAAATGGGGTGAAATGGGGTGACGTCGTCTAGGTAATAAAATAGACGTTTCCAGCTCAACGAATTTCTTCCTCTTTCTTCCCAACTTTTTTTTAACTCGCGTCATGCCCTACTTTTGGCTTTTTGCTACTGTCGCTGCTTTCGCCTCTGGCCCTCTGTGCCCATTTGTCCTGCTCTTTGCCTGCATATTGCAGCTGCTTATCGCTTTCCCTGTTACCGTCGCCTCGTTATTTTGCTTGTTCATGTTTTACGTGTTCTTCCGTGATCCTCTTCTTGCTGTTTGGCGTTGCCTTGTCGACTTTTGGGTGTGGTGGTCGTCCGATTTGGATCCTCGTACGTTGAAAGCAATGCGTGACAATGACGAAGCCACCAAGTTCGTGATGGAAGCCCGTGCGTATTGGAAGGTGGTTGATCTCGCAGGTGCTCCTCTTTATGATGTTGTTGCTATTGAGGGCCCTGCTGCTGATGAGATCGTTTCTGCTCGTGGTGATGAGTCCGTTTTTGGTGTTGCTCCCGTTTTTGGTGATGTCTCGTTTGCTCCTGTTGTTGGTCGCTCTGGTGAGGATGTTTCTGCTCTTGGTGTTGCTTCTGCTTCTGCTTTTGTTGGTGTCGATGGTGTTCGTTCTTCTGGTGTCGATGGTGTTCGTGGCTCTGTTGTTGGTGATGGCGTTTCTTTTCCTGCTGCTGCTGCTACTGCTTACGATGACGTTGAGGCTCTTGGTGCTGGTGCTGCTGATGTTGGTCATGTGTTGGACGCTGTTCCTGGTGATGACGATGTTGCTGCTGCTTTCGGTGTTGGTGAAGGGGATGCCATGGACGAGCTCGGTAACTATACATCCACACGTTTACTTTCTTTAATTACACAAGATTCTAACAATGAATCCTATATAGCATTTCTTTTCCTCCACTTGAGTGTGGATGATCCTCTTGATGAGGATACGTACATGGCTCCCCCATTTGACTGGCGATACGTGGAACCGACCGATATGATGGAACTTGGTAAGTGTTACCTCAGTGTACATGAATTGGCATGCTGGATCATATACATACTCACATGGGATGATGTTTTTTAGACGATGATTTGCTCTCGTTCATGTCCGTTCATTTGGAAAACTCTCCTTTTTACCAAGATGATGACGATCCCATTATCATTGGTAAGTATGAAACTTGATTACCTTGTATATAACCATACATATCTAATATATCACTATTACCTAGATATGCCTTCTCCTCTTATTCCATCACGACCCGCAACACCACCTCCTTCACCTCCACCATCACCTACGCCAATTCATATGGAGGTTGATACCACATCTACTTCCCCTATTGTCACCGCTACCGCTCCCACCACAACCATCACCAATACCGCTACCACCACTACAACTATGCCCACTGACACTCCTGCCACCACAACCATCACCAACACCGACATCAATCCTATTACCACTCATCCCGCTACTGCTATTGCCACTTCTCCTCCTCCAAGCCCTCCGCTCAATTCAACTATGTCACTCATTTTCTCACGCATTCAACAACTCCGTACTCGCACAACACCTTCCTCTAATTCCGCAACGTCCTCTGCTACCGCTACTATGCCTACCACAAATGCCACCGTTTCCACTTCCTCTCGTTCTATCGTTAACAACAATATGCCACCTCCACCATCACGACCACGACGCATTACCCTTACTGTCACGCCACCTACATCATCATCAACATCTACCGCCACATCCACTCCTTCTTCTTCGATTGTGCGTCCCGATATGCCTCCTCCTCCTCCACGTCGACCACGAGCAACCGCAACACCTTCTTCTTCTTTCCGCTTATCATCATCCTCATCCTCATCCTCATCATCTGCGACCGCCACCACTTCTACACCTCGTGAATCCGCACAAACACAACAACAACAACAACCTACCACCACCACCACATCCGCAACACCAACCCCACCATTACCTTCCGATGTGCTAGAGGCACAAAAGGCCCTTGGCCTTGATTGAATCAGTTTTTGGGTGCCTTCTGGTAAGTGGAAAATGACTCTATATATTTATAAGTATTAATAATCTATATATACCCCCATGTATAGGGCGATGAGAGTGGTGGTCCTTTTCCTTGGGGACGTTTTCGGGTGATGGATGGGATACCCTGCAGTCCAGTCTCAAGCGTGGATGATTCTCAGGTACGTTCAGCTTCATGTGTGTTGAGTGAAAGGGTCGGCATGTAGGTCTCGCGGTGGGAGGATCTGGAGGGTCATCGATGACGCTACCTTGGGTGCTGTAAGAGCCAACGAGAAGTCCAATTGGTATCCATGATCCAGTTTGCTATGTACAAGACCTTGCATTCCTACGTCCTCTCATGATCTATTTGCTACGTTATCTACTGAGGTGCTTGATTTGGTCTTGTAAGGGTAAGTCAAAATACTGGTATTGTCTTTTGATCCAATTACTTACGTATGTCATTTTATGATGTGGGGGCCATCATGGTTATGGATACTGTGGTGTGTCCCTGCATAGTGCTACCACCTTTACATGTTGGATGGTCATGTTTTGGCACAAGCGGTAATCATCTATGATGTGGGTATCTGCAAAGGAACATCAAGACATGGTGGGCAAGGCATCATAGCCTGGGGATTGGAGAAGATTGGACGTCGTTGGATCCAGCGCTCTTGGTGCAGAGGATAAGACTTTGAAGGATCCGTGGGAGGGAAAGAGGCCTGCATGTTGATTCCTTTCGCTCTCCACATGGGCTTGGATGTGCCTGGGATGACATGCCGCGTCTTGTTTCTGGTTCTGTAGGGTATCCCTATGAACAGGCTATGGTCATGTGTTATGGTATGTATTGAGGCACAAATGGGTATGTCTTTTCAAAATGCTAATGGATGTCTCTCTTAACAATAGGCCTTGGGCCCTTTTGGGGCGATTGTTATGAGCAGCGGCTGCTGTCGCGGAGGACAGGAGTTCTCTTTTCTTTTTATTGGTATCGTCATCGATTTGGATCTTGGTGATATGGCGATTACCATGGGGCACACGCAAGGGTACTCTTTTCTTTTCATCGATATGGAGGCATCGTTGTCATGGCAACAAGGCGCAAGAGTTCTCTTTTCTTTTTACTGGTGCCATCGTCAAGCTGAACACATGGGTCGCCAAGGTTACAAGATTCAAGCTTTCACTCTCCAGTTGTTGGCACCGTTACAGATCAAGAGGCTATTGTTATGGCTTCCATGGACAAGGTGTCTTTTTTCAACAATACTGGATCGGTGCTATTACCAATTTGCACACATTTATCGTCATGGCTGCAAGACACACAACATTGCATTTCATCTTATTTGCGCTATTACCGATTTGGACACATTCATTGTCATGGCGACAGAGCAAAAGAGGTCTTTTTCATTCCACTGGCGTCGTTACCAATTTGACCACAGGATCATCAAGACGACAAGGCGCAAGAAATGGCTTTTCATTTTGTCGGCGGGACACATTTATTGTCCTGGCGACAGAGGAGAGGAGTTCTTTTCCCTTCTATTGGCGGCGTTACCTATTAGGGTCATTTACCATTGTTGTTCAAGGCACACAGGGGTCTCTTTCTTCAATCCACGGCATGCTGTCACTGAATTTGGGCATTTATTGTCATGGCAACAAGGCACAAGGGATTCGATCCTTTATTTCGATGAGGCGATTCGTTGCGATGCAGCTATTTTGTTTGATCCACGTGCATGGGATCTTGTGTGTTTCATTGATTGGTACCCCTCTTTGTCATACGATGCATGGCTATGGGATCAGGATGCAGATCAACACATGTTCCTTTTATGGGCATCATGGTGGCAACAGCAACCACATCATTATCCGGTGACAACCAAAATGAGGTTCATATCGTTTATTTGGCGGAATGCTACAACGTAAAGAGGATGTGGTCTATTGTATTCTAGAACCGACAAAGAATCACACGGATGGCAACGCAATGGCATTCAGGAAGGCGTTGACTTTGACCATGCCACGATTGTTATGGCTGCAATTGGGAAAATTCATACGCATGGCATCAAGAATGGATTATTACAGGAGATTTTTGGATACTGGTGGCATTTATCACTTGGGTTCGTTGGCAACGCACAACTATGACGATGGCTTTATGGCACTTAGGGGGAACCACGGCACACCTGCAGACCTCTCATTATGTTCACATGACATCCCATTGGCGGCATATGCATCAAAGTGATCTTTCAAGAAGGCCTTCTTGTTACAATTTGCCATCACCAAGATATTCCAATTCAATGGCATGAGGGACGGATCGCTATTGGCATCTTCAGAAGTCGTTATTGGCGGTGATCACGATTTCACAGCACACATGTGGTAGCGGACGGTGTGGACATATCATCCCCCGGTGGTGAAGCATGCCGAATTGGAACCAATGCACGTGCCATGCCTTGATATTTGATCATCAACACTCGATGTGGTCAAGAAGCCTATGAATTCATATACACATGGATGGTATGGCGTTGCAAGAGCATTCACAATATCAACCACGATTATTATCATCATTCAAATCTGGAACTTCTCCACAAAGCCATGCCGATCCAAAGATGCCTGGTGGTCTGTGGACCTTTTCCTATCATTGGAGGTTCATGCATGGTTACGCACAACATGACGAAGGCTCATATCGCATTATCAAATCAACATGGTCGACATTGCAGCCAAAGCCAAGAACAAACGAACCAAGGATCGACCATTCAAAACATACGTATATGCTTCCAAAAGCCCATCTATAACCATGACGCTTACTATATCATTACATAGAGGCAATCATGGAATGTCTGTACCATATCACAGCGGTTCTGGCGATCGATTCTGGATTTCCTATGCACAGCAATTGCAAGATTCCACATACATCAAAAAAATCAATCTATGGCTCTCTCATTATCTCTCTCTTTTACGCGCAAACACGTTCATCAATCATTTCAATCAAGCGCTCAATCAAACACAAACACAATCATCAAAGCAAGTATCACTGGAGGATTTAGATTATATACAAGGCTTATGTATTAACAATGGTATTATAGAACAAACATGCCGAGAAACAAACGTCAATGGCGTCAAGACCGGTCTGGAGGATATGTATCGCTTTGTCGTTCAGGGTCACAGGGCACCGTGCGTTCACCGATTAAGAGTCGCCTGGCCGTTGGGTGCCGTGCTGAATCTGCTCAACAATCTCGACCATCACTCAAATAAGGATTGGCATTCAATATCATCAAAATCAAGAGAGCCTGAAAGAAAAGTACGTACATGATTGGGATTGTCAAGGATGAGGAGTGGATTCTCATTGTGGGCTCGTACGTAGAAACAAAAGAAGAAAAGAAGAAAAAAGAACAAAAGTGGGACTTGCAAGAACTGTGCTAGGAGAACTTGGATTACGCTGGAATCGTTGTTTGACCACAAACGGCCTTACATTGTCACAAGTGAAACGATACTCAAAAGCATACACGCGCTCCACATGACAATCGGTAAGTACCTTCTAATCATTTCTTTATCATGCTATTGTTAATATCATCATCCATAGATTGATCACTATGCACATCAAAGCTGCTTTCAATCCAATGAGGGCGTATCAAGGCGGTGGCACAATATCCAATGAAGGACATGAAACAGCAAGGATGAAGGATGACTTCCATAAATCGCAAAGGGAACACCAGCATACAGTGGAAAATTTGTATTGGCAAGGACATTGTAGGTATGAAGGACGTGGGGTCTCCCTTATTTGCATGCATACTAACACCTGGAACATATGATAGTGCATGCTGCATTCAAGGATAACGATGGGGGGAAAATATGGCCGGCTTGCAGCTGTCGTCAACGTCTTACCAAAACACTGCTCTTTGGTGGTAGGAGCACCCATTGGCTAGTGGCGGTCATCAATGTCTTGCTAGATGTCTATATTAGTATACTACGTGTAATAATATCATACATACATATATAAGCTCATGCATAATAAAGCATGCCCAATTTATTATAATACATCATACTTTGCATTAGACTTACGCATATGTACGAAACATCAGCATTCAATCAGCAACAACACTGTTTATCACCCAACAGGCATAGTTAGTTTCTAACCCAGGTGCTGCATGATAGTGGATAGCAATGACGTGAGGTAGGCTCTATTTTGCTATATACCTGATCGATGCAAATAATACGGTGACATCCTTCTCAAATCAGCACAATTCCTCCAGATGTCTCTTTTAGTGCTACAGGCTGCCCTTGACTATTTGAAGTAAACGAAATGGAAAGACCAGGTTTGCGCATGCTGTGACGATTTGCTGTCTGTTGTCCATAGTGAGGTAAGGCTCTTTGACATCATCAATATGCATGCGTAATGGTGTATTCATCATTCAGGGATATTGCATAATTCGAGATCCATAGACCAATCATTGATGAGGTATGCACACACGTCGCTTCTCAAACACAGGTGTCAGGGCACTGGCACTATACCACAATCTTTATTTCTATGGACTACATTGCTATCCTAATACCGCTAGCGAAACGCTAATCCACATCGTCCACCATTATCCCAACCCAAACGCTCTTGGGCAAATTGGTGATGACTTTCTCCAGTATGGGAAACCTCCAAATTGAATGAATGTATACGAAGCCTCAACCTTGGTGAACAAAGAGATCGAAAAAGTTCATCATCAATGCTTACCTCAATAATCAAGTGATCACCGTCATACTGCTTTCACCAGATCCATATGTATACGAGAAATCATTCAAAGAAGGAATCGTTTAATACCATGGAGGCAAAGGGATGAAGGCACACAAACACTGGATCGTGCTGAAAAAATTGTCGGGAAGCATGGGTGCAGTTTCTGGTTATCCGAGTGCTGAAAGAATCACATGCAAAAAGTGAGACAGCATGTATGCATCGAAGGTTGACTTTTGATGATGATGTTGATGATGTTGATGATGAAAGATGAAGACGGTGGCGATGGTGATGGTGATGATGGTGATGATGATGGTGCTGATGGTGATGGTGATGGTGATGATGAAGATGGTGATGATGATAAGAACATTGAATCAACAACCACTCTTTTTGCAAGCATTTCCATCCTCATAAATTCCACGTACCGTTGCCTCGTTCGTGGCAGGTGTTAAAAGGGGGGTACCTGTACCCAGACCGGTGACAGAATAGATGACTTGTGTTGATACGCGAACCTTCCTTTAGAATATCCGGTCAGCGATGAACGTGCCATGAAATGAGAATCCTTTATCATCTTCACCAACCTCAAAGACCTATTACGGAAAAGCCGTGCATTAATAATTAAAGCACCTCTTGCAAGTGTAATTAAACACGTACCGTAATAGGAGACCAATTAAAAGTGTGCCCAAACATGCTGTGTATCACGATGATCCAATACAATGAATATGATCGCTTCCTGAGATGTCTTGTGGTACCGTTTGATGAAGATCAAGCGGATGACTAATATGTCTTGCATTGTAACGATTCACGTATCATGCTTGTTGCAACGCACAATATCCATGTTGCCAGGCACCAAATGCCAACGTATCCAATCGCCACGATTGTTGATGATCCTAGTACATCCGCTCATTAATCATAACCCTATGATCCACTCCAATACCTTGCTTTGCGCATACCATCTTCCAAAGTCAAAACATCCTCCCATGCTCTGTTGTTGCTTTGCCGGCACGTGATCCAGTCGCAGATAAAGGTTGCTGCTCATTGAGTACAAGAAACACGCCTATAGAGCACATCAATGAACACCTTTGCTGCACACGTTTCAAGTGGTCTTGCTTACCCCATCACCAGTTGCAACCTTTGTCCTTCGTGCACAGAATCTCTTTCCACATTTCTCTCTCAATCCTGAAATTGTCGACATTCCTGAAACAAGAAAGCTGTAAAAACACACGCCTGTCAGTATACACAACGAACAAAGGCAAGTCGGCTTTTACACTCTATTAACACGTTACGTACCTTCGTTGACACCCTTTTGCACATGTCGGTGACTAATGAGGGGCTCCATGTCGAAGCACGATCGCGTTGTTGTTGGGTCTGGGTAAGAAGCAGCAAGGAGAAGCTGAGTAAAGGAGGCACGCTTTTGACACACACCCATGAAAATTATTCACTGCCATTCACACATGCATGCAATTGACCCCGCTATCTCAGCCCACGCAACCAATCTCTCCATGGCAACCTGTATCACTATTGCTGCCTTTCAAAAAGATCATGAACAAATTGTAAGCTTTATTCACATAAGATACAAGGCATATAAACATGATCGCTATATAGAAGATAGGGCAAATTCTATCAAATATAGCAGAAAATGCCCATAATAGATGCTTTTGTATATAAGAAAAGCTTTATCAATAAAAGTAAACAACTACCTGCTGCAAACTGGTATGAGGCATCGTAACAATTGAATTGTCAGTGATAAAGCAAGATGGACCTACAGCCTTCAATGATCAATCTTTGCTTATTTCCACTCTATGCCATTAAGCAACGGATGCTGGCATTTTGTATGATTATCATCATCCACCAACCCAGCATGATTAGAATAACCAAGGCCAACGGAGGCAACAGCACCCAACAGCTATGAACGATTTCTCTGTGTACTGATAATGTCAGTGTCTGTGTACAAATAAAATCCATCAGCCATGGAGAATGCATAGCCCATCTTTTATCCAAGCAGCAATATCCATTCAAGAGGGTTGATTCAATCATTGAATGGCTCGCCTATTGCAGTTGCATGAGTGCGAAAGTTAATTCTATCCTAATGCGCATCATTCATTACCATTGCATCGCACCACAACATCAAACATATAAAATGGTCTGTTTCTTAATGCGTGGTTGGTAGCAAAGGCAATCATTTATTAGCTCCATCAACCTACACGATCAAGATCATATCCCTAATTATTCCAGTGGGCATTGAAAGGATCCATATTCAGATGCTGTGGCTTGAGTAATGCTCCCTCGGCATCTCGAGATCTTGGTTACCGATATTGGTATGAGACATTTCATTGTTCTTTATGGCACGCAATGTAATTAATTTATTCCGTACGGCGGATAAAAAAACCATTCAAGTCGCATATACGGTGTTTTGATACTATGGCCCTTGCGGTTTACAAGGAATGGATATTGAGAATCGCCCATCAAAATGGCCTCTTATAACCTCTCAGCTGGAATGCGAGCATTACGTTATGATGCGTCAGGAGCCTATGAGCCAATCTATCAGCCGCGATAGCAATGCTGCCGGTATCGTATACATTGTCCCATACGATCAATCATTATTGGCCCCGATAGCTGTTAAATAGCACGACAGTCCCTGACAAGAATAATATAGCGTTTGGTTGATCCCTTTGTAGCGCAATGGTAGCAATCACGGTAAAAGCGAGTGGTCAATTATATATGCTTTAGGATTACATCATGTGCATTTTATGATCTTTTTCAATTTGAATCATCTAACTTTTATTTTAAAGGGCTGGAAGGCTATCCTATTACAACTAGCAAGCGCTAACACGCTTCGCCCACCAGGATCGTAACACCAACAGCTCTTGCTATATCCATATTGCTTGCATTCAACGTCCATTGTCCGAGATCTCATAAATGCATGCCTGCTAATGTTGACTTCTTCCACCATGGATACCCCAACAGCTCACCATCAGATAAGCGTAGCTTGGTCGCCTAATGGAAATACACGCATGCTATTTGAATCCGTAAGCCAATACATGTCATAGTGAACGAATATATGTAGAAAAAGTACCCATCCGCAGCATGTGGCTCCATGATACAATAATGATGGATGTAACCGCTTGATTTGTTTTCTTGTGGTACCATTAACGTGATCCAACCCATCGCCATTGTGTGTTGCATCCTTACGATCGACATGTCATGCTTGATACCAGCATCCGATTCGTCCAAAAGGCCAAGTACAGTAAATCCAATGCTGTTGATTGAAGATGCTCCTGTTGATATCCATTAGGTATCATCCATTGATCCATTTCCATGCCTTGCTGTACTTTATACCTACCTTCTCTGGAATTTGAAGCACCTTTTATTGCTCTCGTCTTGCATTTCCTATCACGTGATCATGTCGCTCGATCAAGGTTGCTTGGTCATTGTAATAATGTCATCAAGATAGAATGCCAATGAATCCCTTTGCTGCCCACCTTTCACATGGTCCTGCTTTCCCTATCACCAGAGTATACGTTGGCACCCTTAAACAGAACCCCTGTTAGCGTACAATTCAAGGATCCGTACAATTCAAGGACACAAAATTGTACTAGTACAATTCAAGGACAGGCATTCTCATTACACAACAACATTACCCAAGTGCATGGATGAGTGCAACACCCACATACAACCATACACAGCCTTGGTTGCTGGTGTGGGTGCGTTATGACAAGCATTTCAAACATCCAAACCTGGTATGTGATTATGATTGCATCTGGTATTATTGTTTGTTGGTTTGATGTAAAAAAAGCTAAACAAGATGGCAGGCAAGATACTTGGGTAGAAGATTGGCCATATTGTTGGGGTACCAATTGGAATGTCCCATGAGTTGAAAAATGGCGTCCGTCACGTTCGCGCAATTTTATACAAGGTGCCCTCTGCACAAAGTGAATACCCTCGTTACAATGTTTCTAGTACCCATCTTTTTGTAAAACCATACTGAAGGCGTCTCGTTTATATACCTCAACAGAGATAAAAATCAACCTTTATTAAATAAAGATAGCCAATACAAGTACCATTATCCTTAGGACTCATTCAATAATAACATCGGTCTGCTTGCTTTATTGAAGAATACTAAAGACGATAGAATGGCGGGTACTCGATCACAGAGAGCTCTAAACTAATACTAGGCCCCGAATACGCTTGGTCGTTGCATAGATCCTTTATAACGGCCATGATCGTGAACGTCCTCAAATTGTACTAGGACAATTCAAGGACTCAAAATTGTACTAGGGCAATTTTGAATTGTACTAGGTCAACTTTGAATTGTACTAGATCAATTTTGAATTGCACTAGGACAATTTGGAATTGTACTAGTACAATTTTGTGTCCTTGAATTGTACGGATCCTCGAATTGTACGCCAACAACCCCTTCCACCATTCCTCCTGAACCTTGCCATTGTCGCCATTGCTGAACCAAGAAAGCTGTAACAGACAAGGATATGAGTATACACAACGAAGAAAGGCAAGTTCGCTCGTACACTCTACTACAACGCTACTTACCTTTATGAACACCTTTTCTCGCACATCGCTTGCTAATGAGGGTTTCCATGTCGAACCACGATTGCGGCGTTGGGTCTGAATGGGCAAGCAGCAGCAAGAAGTAGACGAGTGCGCACACACACGCACACATTGAAATTAGTCTCTGCCCTTCACACACGCATACAATAAACAATACCACCATTCATAACCCTTTTATAAACGTATCTTTTATTATCATCATATACAAGAAGCGGTGTTCAAGGGGGAGTAAAGCTATTGCTGCGTTATGGCTACCATACAACTACACCTAACAATACCACCACACCTATACCCTTTTATTAGCAAGTGATATAAAGATAGTTTAGACATACTTGTTTACCCATTCCAACTGCAATTGTGAAGGATCATGACATTGGATTAGTCAAATGGGGTGAAATGGGGTGACGTCGTCTTGGTAATAAAATAGACGTTTTCAGCGCAACGAATTTCTTCCTCTTTCTTCCCAACTTTTTTCTGCTACTTTGACAATGCTCTGCTTCGCGCTTTCTGCTATTGCTCTCTGCTTTTCTGAACCGGCTTTACGCCTAACGCTCTTGTTTGCTTGCCTTGTGCAGCTTTTTGGCTTCCCTGATACGGTGTTGCTTTCTCTCTGTCTCTTTGAAGACATGCTTTGGTGCTCTTTTGTTGGCTTCTTGAAGAAGTGGGTACCCATTGCCAAACCTCGTTCCAATGAACGTTTGCTTCAAGCAAAGGCCACGTTGAAACCCAAGCCGCCTGTTCGCCCACCCTTGTCTGGCCTTGTGGTTACTTGTATCTCTCGCTCTGGTGAAGTCCTCTCTGAACACGCTGTTCGCTTTTCGCCCTCTTATCGACCTCCTGTTGGTGTGTCATGTGTCCATGAGGGAAGCAAAGTTGTCTCTGGCTGTTGTTGTGGCGTTTTTCCCACTTTGTCCTCTGCTGTTGGTGTTGATGCTCTCTCTGCTCATGAAGAAGCTCACACTCGTCCTGCCGTTGCCGTTGCTCCTGCTCGTGCTGTTGACGTTGATGATGTTGCCTCCGCTGTTGATGATGGTGCTGTTCCTACTGGTGACGAAGGTGTTGGTCTCGATCGTGTTGGTGTTCCTCCTGTTGACGTTGGTGTTGATGACGTTCCTGGCTCTGGTGGTGATATTTCTGAGGATGATGGTGATTCCGTTTCTGCCGGTGTTGATGTTGGTGTTGTTGAAGACGTTGGTGTTGTTCTTGCTGCTGTTGACGATGCTGTTGTTGAAGACGTTGATGTTGGCGAAGAAGTTCCTGCTCTTGGTGGTGACGTTCCCGCTGGTGGTGTTGATGAAGATGTTCCTGCCGTTGCTGCTGTTGCTAACGACGTTGCTGCTGTTGATGTTGACGACGATGATGTGTTTGAGGAGCTCTGTTAGTATATCTTCAAAGAATTACTTCCTTAATTATACTTGACTCTAACAATGGCTCCTACGTAGCATTCCTTTTTACCCACTTGAGTGTGGATGATCCTTTTGACGAGGATACGCGCATGGCTCCTCCTTTCGATTGGCGATACATTGAACCAATTGATGATATGGAAGTTGGTAAGTGACGCCTTAAGGCACATGGATTGGCAAGCTGGTTTGCATATATACTCACATGGGATAATGGTTTTTAGATGACGATTTGCTTTCCGTCATGTCGATCAGTTTGGGCAACTCTCCTTTCTTTAATGACGAAGACCCTATTATGATCGGTAAGTGCGACCATCTTTTATATAAACATACAATCTAATATGCAGCTATTACATAGACATGCCTTCCCCCCAACTTCCATCACGACCCGCTACACCTCCTCCATCACCTCCGCCATCACCTACGCCAATCCCTATGGAGGTTGATATGCCAATCCTTTCTCCTATCATCACCACTGCCGCTGCCACAACAACCACTAATACCGCCACTACCACCACTACAATTATGCCTACGCCAACTATGCCCAACCTTATGCCTGATCCTATTCCTGTCATCACCACCGATACCACACGTACTACTACCAATTCCGCTACCACTATTGTTACCTCTCCTCCTCGTACTGTCCTTAATCCCACCATGGCGCTTATCCAATCACGAATCCAACGCATCCGCCAAACAGTCCTTACTACCGCAACACCTTCCTCAACTCCCGCAACAACTACTTCCGTTACTACTACGACCACCACTAATGCCGCTGCTACCACTTCCTCAAGTTCTCGTGTTAATGCCGATATGCCACCACCACCACCTCGACCACGACGCACCACCACCCTTACCGTTACGCCACGCACAACAACAACATCTACCGTCACCTCCACTCCTTCCTCCTCTGGTATTGTGCGACCAGATATGCCACCACCTCCTCCACGACCACCACGAGCAACCGCAACACCTTCTTCTTCTTCTCACCGTTTGTCATCCTCATCTTCGTCATCCAACACCGCCAATCCTTCACCACGTTCTGAATCCGCACAACAACAACAACAAACCCCTGTCACCACTACTTCCGCAACACCACCACCATCATTACCTACCGATGTGCGTGAAGCACAAGAGGCCCTTGGCCTCTTTGATTGAATGATTTTTGCGGGTGCCTTTTTGGTAAGTGAAAAATGTATGCTTTGTACTTTTGCGACAATTACTTATACATTCCTATTTGCTTATAGGGCAATGAGATTGGTGCTTCTTCTTGCTTGGAGCGTTTTCGGGTTATGGATGGGATACCCTGCAGTCCAGATTCAAGGCGTGGATCATTCTCAGGTACGTTCAGCTTCATGTGTGTTGAGTGAAAGGGTCGGCATGTAGGTCTCGTGGTGGGAGGATCTGGAGGGTCATCGATGACGCTACCTTGGGTGCTGTAAGAGCCAACGAGAAGTCCAATTGGTATCCATGATCCAGTATGCTATGTACAAGACCTTGCATTCCTACGTCCTCTCATGGTCTATTTGCTACATTACCCACTGAGGTGCTTGTTTTGGTCTTAAAAGGGTAAGTCAAAACAGTGATATTGTTTTATGACCCATTTACTTACTATTATTGCTTTATCTTGTGGGGGCCCATCATGGTTATTGATGCTGTGGTGTGTCCCTGCATAGTGACACCGCCTTTATATGTTGGATGATCATGTTTTGGCACAAGCGGTAATCATCTACGAAGTGGGTATCTGCAAACGAACATCAAGACATGGTGGGCAAGGCATCATAGCCTGGGGATTTGGAGAAGATTGGACGTCGTTGGATCCGGCGCTCTTGGTGCAGAGGATAAGGCTTTGAAGGATCGGTGGGTGGGAAAGAGGCCTGCATGTTGATTCCTTTCACTCTCCACATGGGGTTGGATGTGCCTGGGATGACATGCCATGTCCTTGTTTCTGGTTCTGTAGGGTATCCCTGTGAACAGGTTATGGTCACGTGTTGTGGTATGTATTGAATCACACATGGCGATGCCTTTCAAGATGCTAATGGATGTCTCTCTTAACAATAGGCCACGGGCCCTTTTGGGGCGATTGGTATCAGCAGCGGCTGTGGTCGCGGAGGACAGGAGTTCTCTTTTCTTTTTATTGGTGTCGTCACCGATCCGGATCTTGGGCATTTGGTGGATACCAATGGACACACGCAAGGGTTCTCTTTTCTTTTTATGGATGGTGCAATGATATGGAGGCATCGTTGTCATGGCAACAAGGCGCAAGAGCTCGCTTTTCTTTTTACTGGTGCTTAACCGAGCTGACTACATGGTCGTCATGATTACAAGTCTCAAGGTTTCTCTCGCTCCTTTCATTGGCATTGCTACATATCAAGACGCTATCACCATGGCTACAACGCAAAAGGTGTCTCTTTTCGAGAATACTGGATCGGTGCTATTGCCAAGTTGACCACATCTTTCGCCATGGCTACAGCGCAAGGACATTGCATTGCATGCATCTTATTCGCGTATTACCTATTTGGACACATTCATTGTCATGGCGACAGAGCAAAGGAGTTCCTTTTCATTCTACTGGCATCGTTACCAATTTCAACACATTTATCACCAAGGTGACAACACACAAGGAATTGCTTTTCATTTTGTTGGCGGGACACATTTATCGCCATGGCTACAGAGGAGACGAGATCTCTTCCCTTCTATTGGCGGCGTTACCTATTAGACCATTAATTGACTTGGTGGCGTCAATGAATTTGGGCATTTATTGTCATGGCAACAACACACAAGGGCTTCGTTTTCCGTATTCGATGAGGCGATTGGATGCGATACGGCTATCATCTTTGGTCCACGTGCATACGATCCAGCTTCTTTCAGTAGTTGGTTTTCCTCTCTATGATACACTACGTGGCTATGGGATCAAGATGTAGCTCAACACGTTTTCCTTTATTGACGTCATGGTGGCAACAGCAGCAAAACAATCATACGGTGACAACCAAAATCGGGTTCAGATCACTTAATTGGAGGAACACTGGACGGCAATGAGGAGGCAGCCTATTGTGCTCTATGTCATACAAAGTTTCAGGAGCACGGTGTTGCAATGGTAATGAGGAAGGCATTGACCTTGATCCCGCTACGATTGTTATGGCTGCAATTTGGAAGATTCATACGTATGGCATCAAGAATGGATTATTACAAAGCACTTTTGGACACTCGTGGCATTTATCACTTGGGTTGATTGGCAAGACACAACTATGATGATGGCATTATGACACTTGGCGGAACCAAGGCACAATTCCAAGCGTCTCTCTATGCTGACATGACATCCTATTGGCGGCATGTCCACCAAAAAGATCTTTCGCGATAGCTTTCCTGTTATAATTCGGCATCATCAAGATATTCCAATTCAATGGCATGAGGGGCGGATCGCTATTGGCATTTGCTGGAGTGGCTACTGGCGGTGGTCACGATTCACAGCACACATGTGGTAGCGGATGGCGAGGACATCTCATCTCGTGGTGGCTGGAGCATGCTATTGGTTGCTATGCTTTCAAAATGGGGGATGAATTGGAACCAATACCCATGCTATGGTTTTGTATTGGATCTTTCCATCATCTACACTCGATGTGATCAAGAAGGCTTTGAATTCATATATACATGAGTCATATGGCGTTGCAAGAGCATTCACAATATCAACTACGATTGTTATCATCATTCAAGTCTGGATCTTCTCCAAAAAGCCATATCAATCCAAAGATACCTTGTGGTCTGTGGACCTTTTCCAACCAATGGAGGCTCATGCATGGTTACGGACAACATGATCAAGACCCAAATCGTATTACGAAATCAACATGGTCAACATTGCAGCCAAAATCAAGAACAAACAAACCAAGGATCGACCATTCAAAACGTACGTATATGCTTCCAAAAGCCCAAGCATAACCATGACGCTTACCATGTCATTACATAGATGCAATCATGGAATGCCTGTACCATGTCACAGCGGTCCTGGCGATCGATTCTGGATTTCCTATGCAGAGCAATTGCAAGATTCCATATATATATATATATATATATATATATATATATATATGAAGACAAATCAATCTATGGCTCTCTCTCTCTCTCTATCTCTCTCTCGTACGCGCATACACGTTCATCAATCATTTCAATCAAGCGCTCAATCAATCGCAATCACAAATATCAAAGTGAGTATCATTGGGTGAATTGGTTGACATACAAGATCCATGTATTGACAATGGTGTTATAGAACAAACATGCCGAGAATCAAACGTCAATGGCATCAAGACCGGTCTGGAGGATATGTATCGCTTTGTCGTTCAGGGTCACAGGGCACCGTGCGTCCACCGATTAAGAGTCGCCTGGCCGTTGGGTGCCGTGCTGAATCTGCTCAACAATCTCGACCATCACTCAAATAAGGATTGGCATTCAATATCATCAAAATCAAGAGAGCTGGAAAGAAAAGTACGTATATGATTGGAATCATCACGGATGAGGAGTGGATACTCATTGTAGGCTCGTACGTAGAAACAAAAAGAAAAAAGAAGAAAAAGAACAAAAGTGGGACTTGCAAGAACTGTGCTAGGAGAACTTGGATCACGCTGGTATCGGTGTTTGACCACAAACGGCCTTACGTTGGCACAAGTGAAATGACGCTCAAAAGCATACACACGCTCTCCATGATAATGGGTAAGTACATGCTGGTCATTCTTTTACCCTGCCATTGCTAACATCAGCATTCTTAGATTCATCACCATGCACGTCAAGAAAAGATGCTTTCAATCTATGACCATTTATGAGCTCAATGATACAACATGGAATGGATGACCTCAAGGATCACTCACAACTGAAGCACGAATGAAGATACCTTCTATCAATGACCAAGTGATGGAGACAAGCATACAGTGGGAAATGTGTATTGGCAAGGACATTGTGAGTATGATGGATGCGGGACGTGCTATGCTAGCATGCATACTAATGCCTAGGTATATGATAGTGAATGCTGCGTTTAGGGCCAACGCCAAAGAAACTGATGGTGGTCTTACTTGCAGCTCTCATCAACGTATTATCGAGACATAGCTCTTTGGTGGTAGGAGCACTCCTTTGCTGGTGGTGGTTATCAATGCCTTGCTAGATGTCTAAATTAAGATACTACTTGTAACAATATCATGTATACATATGTAGGCTCATGCATAATAAAGCATGCTGGATTTATCATAGTAGATGATACCTTAAGTTAGGGGATGTCCTTAAATCACCCCTAGTTAGTGGCGACTTAGAAAAAATCTCCGATTATGCAGCCTCGACTTAGAAAATCGACTCTCTCAGCCAGCTCCTCCACCTCCAACAGCTTGTTCTTCTTTACAGCCCTCTTTATTCTTCTTGTACAACTACTCGGTTCACGCCTTCCACCACTTGTATACATTCGTAGCACCCTTCCGACTTCTCCATTGTCACCATTGACTCCATCTGGAACTCTCCATCTATCAGCATCGCCTGTCCTTGGCTGCTTTCTCGCCACCACAGCTCCTTTTCAGACGACACCTTTTACAGCACTCGATACACCCCACCGTGTCATACGCCTCTTCGCTACTGTTGCAATGCACTTTACAAACACATGCTCGTAGACCTCATTGGCTCCATCTTGCTCGCCGTCGTCAACGCCTTGCCACCAAAACCTCACACAGCGTACCAGCTTGGGTTAAGACGATAAACCAAATCGAGGTCATGGAAGGTTTCTTTGCAAGGTTGGTATCATGTTACATGAGAAAGTCGTTATTGGAGACATTATTGGATTGGTAAGTGTTGGATGACAGGGTGTAGCTTTGCACAAAGGTACTGTATTGGGGATAAAGGATGATGATACCATTGGGTTGCGTGGTGATCGCGTTTTGTTTTCTATTGCTCTTCTTTATCATCTAGCCCTGAAGCTATGTGGCGCTATGACTATATACAAGGACATGGATGGGATGGACTCCAGCCAATTTAGGGTGCATGATAGGATTAGAATAGTGTATGAGTGAATAAAATGGCTTTTGTTAAAAGTAAGCATGAAAGTACGCTACGTTCGTAAATGGTTTTCGTTGTACCAAGGATCCATTTCATTACAGTAAACCCAATAATAAGTTATGTGCTTCGAAATTTTAAACAGAGGATAAGCAACGAGATTAAGCATACGTCATTCAATGATAGAAAAACTGGAGGATACTTGGTTGAATGTTGTCAACATGGAGTACTCCTGGTTGAATTATGTCAACCAAGAGTACTCTCGGTTTGCGTTTGTCAAGCAGGAGTACTCCTGGTTTAAATTTGCCAACCAAGAGTACTCCTGATTTGCGTTTGTCAACCAAGAGTACTCCTCATTTGCGTTTGTCAACCGAGAGTACTCCTGGTTTGCGTTTGTCAACCAAGAGTACTCCTGGTTTAAATTCGCCAATCAAGAGTACTCTCGGTTTGCGTTTGTCAACCAGGAGTACTCCAAGTCGACTTATTTAAACCAAGTATCCTCCAACTTGAATTACTTCAACGATAATTGCCATTGCGTAGCATTATTAAACAAGGTATGCTTAATGCTGTGGCACATCCTCTGTTTGACATTATATATATGTTCATGCTTTATGATGGTCTTTCAATGGTTGAAAATGATTCCTTTTACCACAACAACCATTTATGAACGTAGCGTACTTTCATGCTTACTTTTAACAAAAGCCAATTTATTCAACCATACACCATTCTAATCCTGTCATGTACCGTAAATTGGCTGGAGCGCATCCCAATCATGTTCTTATACATAGCCACAGCGTCCCATAGCAGCCTTCAGTGATAAAGGAGAAAACACTCGAGTTGAAAAGAAAACGGGATCACCACGCATCATCATCTTCAATGGAACCATCTCCATCCCATATCCCCAATACAGTACCTTTGTGCATACCTTGTCCCTATCATCCAGCACCCACCAATCCAATGACATCTTCAATAAAGACTTCCTCATGTAACATGATACCAACCTTGCAAAGAAACCTTTTATGGCCTCGACTTGGGGTATGGCCTTGACGCAAGCTGGTATGCTGTGTGGGGCTCTCGTGCCAAGGCGTTTGCGGATGGCGAACAAGATGGAGCGAATGAGGTTGACGAGCATGTGTTCGTAAAGTGCATTGCAATAGTGGTGAAGAAGCGTATGACTCGTGGGTTGTGTCGAGTGTTGAAAAAGGTGTTGTTTGAGAAGGACATGTGGTGGCGAGAAAGCAGCCAAGGACAGGCGATGCTGATAGATGGAGAGTTCCAGATGGAGTGAATGGTGACAATGGAGAAGGCTGAAGGGTGCTACGAATGTATACAAGTGGTGGAAGGCGTGAACAGAGTAGTTGTACAAGAAGAATAAAGAGGGCTGTAAAGAAGAACAAGCTGTTGGAGGTGGAGGAGCTGGCTGAGAGAGTCGATTTTCTAAGTCGAGGCTGCATAATCGGAGATTTTTTCTAAGTCGCCACTAACTAGGGGTGATTTAAGGACGTCCTAAGTTAGGCATAACCGAATGTAGGAAAGATCAGCATTCAGTAGGCAGCAATGCTGCTCATGATCCAGCATGCATGATTAGCTTTTTAGTCCAGGTGCATCCTTATCGACAACATGGTGATGGTGACGGTGACTTAAGCAAAAGGATGGTGGAAAGAGGTTGTGCATGTAATTCCAAAAGCTCGATTCTGTCATGGTGAGTGACACATGGCCCTTACCTGCTATCCAAGATCTCTTGGAAGACTTTGGTGGTAGATCCATATTCACGACAAGAGATTTGTTGAAAGGGTTTAACCAAATTGCCGTGCATGGTTCATCGATTCCTAAGCTCACGATGGCCACACCTTGGGGAAAATTTTCCTACCGCGTTATGCCCTTTGGTGTAATCAATGGTCCTAGCTGCTTTTCACGTGCCATCTACATGGCTATGCAAGGCTATCTTAACGACTTTGTTGCAACGTACATCGATGACATTGTGATCTACTCATGGGATTTTGATGAGCATGTGGACCACTGTCGCAAGGTTCTGGAACGTTTACGTGCTGTACGCATGAAGATCAAGCCGTCAAAATGTTCATTCGCACAAGGAGAAGTTGAATTTTTGGGCTTTTTGGTATCAGCAAGAAGTGTGCGTCCAAACCCAAAGAAGGCGGAAAAGATGTTGAAGTTCCCAAAAACCTCAAAATCGCACTGATGTACGGGCATTCGTTAGCTTGGCAGGTTTTCATCGGGATCATGCCGATGGTTTTGGTGAGCTCGTTGCTCTTTTGAATGAATTGTTAAAAAAGAATAAGTCGTTTGTATGGGAAGATAATCAAGAACGATCTTTTGGTACATTGAAGGAAGCGTTGTCAAATTTCGCTATGCTCAAGTACCCCAATCCTGCTGAGGTGTATCGTTTATATGCGGATGCTTCGGAAGTTGGTATAGGAACGGTGTTTACCCAATGTGATCAAGATGTTGAAGCGAGGAGACCCATACGCTTTCTATCCCGGAAATTGAAGCTATCTGATACCTTCTTACCAAGACGGATGCCAATCAAAGATTACGACGTTGGGTTATGGCGGTTCAAGAGTTCAAGTTTCATGTTCATCATTTACCTGGGATAAGCAACATCGGCGCTGACGTTATGTCTCGTTACGCACCTTTTGATGTATTAATCTCGGATCAAGATGATGTACTTAACATGTATCCTGCATGGCTTGATGATGCGAACATTCTTCTCTGTATGGTGCGGGTCTTACGCCTGTGGTCAAGTACTTGTTGTCTAGAGATCAAACAGTGGATGAACAAGTCAAGTATCGATCTCGTTTGTATGCATAGAATGGTAGTAAACTTTATCGGCGTACGAAACAAGGGCCGCTTTTCGTGCCTGTATTGGACCCAAGGGAAGGAATTATCGAGGGGGCACATGAGTATGCGGGCCATTACGGGCCAAGATCTATCGTGAATATTGGTGGCCAAAGTGTTATGAGGATGTAGAACACCATGTACGTTCTTGCCACGCATGGCAAATTTTCGGATCAAACCCTCTAAAGGAAAGGTCGTTAAAGAAGCAAGTTGATATGAATGGTCTTTTGCAGATGATCGGTATGGATTTTGTAGGGCCGTTTGACGTTGCATGTCTAAGTGGTAACAAGTACCTCATTATGGCCGTGGAATACTACACGAGGTGGGCTGCTGCTAGAGCTGTGCCGAAGCCAAATGCTATTGAAGCGGCAAGATTTTTATACCGGGAATTGTTTTGGAAGTTTGGCCCAATCAAGTATATTTTATCTAACTGTTGTATCCTGGCACACATTCTCACGTTTGTCAACCTGCTTTTTCTATCATACGATGGAATTCCCCTATCATCCGAATGAAGGGTTACCTTGTCATCGCCAAGCTTATCCATATTGGTTACCTATTGCTATATACGTACACGCTTCATCACTGTACCACCCGTTGTGATGAGGGACGATGGAGGACACGTGACCAGACAGCTCGGTATGAAAAGACCCGCTCCTAAGAACCCACCCTAACACAACCCATATGATACAAAGTACAAGTGCCACCTCCCCGCTCCCACACAAACCTTATCAACAATCATATAAATATTCATTATAGTGAATTAAGAATCCTTAGTGAGCTTCCTGATACTTGTGAGCAGCCTTAGTATGAGCCTTGCCTCTGTGTGTGTGTGCCTTTTCAATAGATGTGCTTATACTTTTATGTTGTATCCCCTTAGCTGTATCCTAGTTCTCTTTTACATCTGTGCACTCTCTTTCCCTTTTGCGTTCTTTCTCGATTGTAATTCCCTTTGAGCTTTTGTCGTTTGAAACATCTTTTGTATCTTTATTTGCAGTAGTAGACCATTCGGTACGTGTTTTTAGATAGATGCCTTCTTATATGAACATCTCGACTGACATGGCAGGGCATACAAATATAGGCCTTGCTGCTGACCTCGTTCCGGTTAATTCATTTCATGGTGGAATAGCCGTGTACCAGCAAAGATAGTCCCGCTACAATATACCAAACATCTATCATCAACACCAAGGGGTCCTGATCCAAGTGCCACATCAGCCTTTTGTGTTATCTACACCTCACATCAGCACACAAGGTACTCCTTCTATCAGCATGTACAACCCATACCAAGCCTATAATGTACAACAGCCCCAGCCATTTGTGATGCAAGGGTACCCTGCCTTACCCCAACCACCACAATCTGCTACTTCTCTGGAGAGAGCATTACGAAGATCCAGTGTTGTTTTTGGATGAATTTCATAGAAGCGCAACAGCAAGGAATTGCCTCACAGATGACTTGAAGTATCAATTGGTGGAGCGTCATCTTAAGGGTGAAGCGCTTGACTGGTTCCGAAAGATGGAAAGGAAGGATCTCGTGTACGATGATGGCACACCTCAGTGTTTTGTATAAAAATTCTTGACCAGGTTTCTCAATGAGGAACGTTGTAACAAAATGCAAGAAGACTTTTATATGAGGATCCAAGGAGAAAATGAGCCGGGCGAGCCGTACATCGATGCCAAAATCCAATTGTGGAGATGTTTGCAGCTTGGCCAACAGGGTGTGACAAATCCAGAGCTTAGCACCATTCGATGTGGATTACGACCACACAAAGAGTTCTTCCTCAAGTTGACCATGCCGAAGACCATTGATGATTTGAGGGACACAGTACGTCTTGCCGACCAATGCAGAGCCAATCCATCATCAATGCCTGGAGGAGTGCAGCCTATGTCAATTCTCGGGAGTCAATCTCCTCAAGAGGAACCACAAGGGCAAATCGTGCACAACACCCACGGCAAAGAGCAGCAAGTATGGGAGACAAGGATGGACAAGCTTATGCCACAAATGGAAAGTTTGGTATCCATGCAACAAGAGGTCCTTGAGAGGATCAGTGAAGAGCCAACGTTGTATATGGATCAAGGGTGTCGTGCTGAACATGCCATCCAACGAGATCTTGTTTCAGAAGCCATTAAGAAAAACGGTGACACTGGTGCCGAAAGTTCGGGTTTTTGGAGGGGCGGCCATTGACAGGTGTGGTCGCCCAAAACAAAGCAAATCCTGTAAACCATATGCATGTTGTGCATTTTGTTGAGGGCAATGAGGCAAAATCAGCAATCCAACGGGAAGTAGCGCCAATGGATACAAATGAGAAGCCACCCACCATTGCACAACCAAAACCATCATCACCGGAATTACTGCAAGGAAAAAGAGATGACATGGATCCAAGTTTGACGTGTGAGCAAGAGGTGATTAGTAGCAGTTGTGCACCAAAGGGTGTTTGATAGTAGATAGATGACCTCTTATTTGGACACCTCGACTCATATGGCAGGGTATACAGATATAGGCCTTGCTGCTGGGCACGTTCCGGTTTATTCATTTCACCGTGGCATGATTGTATCACACACACGTTCTGGGTATACTCCATTAGGAAGCACGCACACACACACCCTCTTCAACTACCATCATCCTTAAAGCTATAAATACGCACAACAACCACCACTTGAATAAAGGATCACTCATTTTATTGAGTCTCGTGAAAAAATGTAAAATCATCTTCTCGAGTCTCGTGACTTATTAGCCTCCTCTTTCATATAAGTGATATTACACCAACAATGGATCGCATTTTGCAAATGCCATCTTTGACATGTTTATCAAGCTGGTTAACTCTTGACATAAGCTTTCGGCTCCTTATCACCCCCAAACAAACGGCAAGGTCGAAAGGATGAATGGCACTATCGTTCAAGGATTCAAGACGTTGGCCTATTAGCATCCGCAGCATTGGGACGATCACTTGGAAACCGTGCTGTATGCTTATCGTATTAAGACACATGCAACATTGGGGATATCCCCTTACGAGTTGCTTTACGGTATTCGACCACCGGCTCATCATAATGACAATTTACAGCAAATTGGAAGAAGGTTGGGCATGGAATCGTGTATTTTATTTGAGAGATCGCAATTATGATAATGGAGATCCGGCAATCAAGGAGGTTGCGGTTCAGGTTGATACACATGCTAAGTTTACAATTGCGAGTCTGGTACTTGGGGTAAACCATAAGAAGCAAGGGAAGTTTGACCCTACCTATCAACCTGCCCCTTATCGCGTCTTAGCAGCTTTTGACAACAACACCTATTTGCTGGCAACCGATATGGAAAGATTCTGAAGAGACGTGTTAATGGAGCGCATTTGAAGGCGTATATTGAAAGACCAGGTCATATCAAGATGTCGCCCGCTTGGCAAGGGGAGTGCGATGAACGGGATAGAAAAGTTGTGTGACCAATTTAACTACAAGCTCCAACGAAGAGCATCCGCCTTATTTGACAAGTTCCACTTCCTGGATTTTATATGGAGACTCTTAGACCTTTTCCCTTTGTCTTCCTCTTGGAAGCATTTATCAATCTCCATAGTTGGAGTAAGTTGTCAACCCCTTTCTTTCAAGTTATCAAATCAGTAATTACATGCAGGATCAATAAAGACTGTAGTTTTAAGTCAACCAAAGAGCGACGTATTTCAGGTGATCGTAAATTGGTTGCCTTTAATGAAATCCCCTTGCCAACATCCAATCCCATCCGTACAATCATATAGCTCACGCTATCTACCGCTTATTCTCCTTGTATTTTGAAAGAAACAAAGGGTATTGCCACGACGATAATAGCGATCTATTTGCGGATTCCATTTGTGCCGGTAGGTTGCATTCCTTGTTGGTCACTTGTGGTTATCCATCGATGTAGCGATTTCAACGCGGGAAAAGAATACTTGTTGCTGTGATTCACCACATTGTTTTGTTGCTAAAGATCGTTGTAATGTTTTAAAGTCGATTCCTTTTGTGTCATCCACAAGTTCCATTTCACGCGCCTTCATCATTGCATGTTGAGATCGGCACCAACGTCGATGCATGGTATCCATACCAACGGAAACATAGCAACATAGTCACGTGTTGCAGAGATAGCGATTGGTGACGATCGTTTTCATCTATCCAGTCATTCGGGTGCATATGACGTCGTGGTTGATAATTGACCTATGCGTTGGACGGGTTGTCACGAAGCGAATACCAGGACTCAACGTGCTCAGCGAAAGATGCCGACGAAAGTAAAAGCCAAAACGAGAAGCTACATATATCGATGATGCCGTAACCAGGAGACGTATGGTGATAGCGAACAGGTTTCCAGGCCACGAATGATCAACGTTTAGAGGATCGTCAATCTGAGATCACCATAACGGGCCTAAGATTTTCAACCAAAGAAAGCTCCGTTAGCAATCATACACGAGCATCCCTCCTCAAAAAGCGAATATGCAGCATAAAATATCCAAGCACGCCATGTACATACCACACCATCATGATCCAATCCCAATACAATCTACATGATCGCTCGTTGGGGTATTTCTTCTCCCATATTGAAAGCTCGAAATAGAGCACCGTGCCATGTTACGCTTGCTGCATCTTGAAGGGCAATCCAAGTATATCCATATCGATCCAGTAATTGCTTGTGATCCTTTCCTTGCTCCATTGATAATGATCCAGTGCCAAAGAATATCATGCTGCTCACTGTAGCATTGTACGCATGCATTGCATCTCTTGATGTACACACATCCTTTCAACCTCTTGCGCGGCCATGAAATCATGTGATCGGTTGCCAGAACACAGATTGCTTGTATGATGGTCAATAAACAGTGTCCATGCCAACCAATGCCTTGCTACAAACCTTACATCTTGGCATTTGTCCAATCCATCCACAACGGCAGGGAGGAGTAAGTCCAACGATGTTCATTGAATATGATCCTGTTTTAATCCATTGAGTACCATCCAATGATACATTCCCGTACTGGATATTGTTGTACTTGATACATACCATCGCTGGGCGTTGAACCTTCGTTTTGTGCTCTCGTCTTGCTTTAATATCACGTGATCAGGTCGTTGGATAAAGGTTGCTAGTGTTCATTGTAAGAAGCTTGTCGAGATACATTGCCAACGAATTCCTTTGCTGCCCACCTTTCAAGTGGTCTTGCTTGCACCATCAACACACTATACGTTGCCACCTTCAACAGGATCTCTTTACACATTCCTGCTGAAGGTTGCCATTGTCGCCATTACTGAACCAGGAAGGCTGTAAAAGACAAGCATATGAGAATACACAACGACGAAAGGGCAAGTTGGCTCTTACACTCTACTACAACGCTACTCACCTTCATACACACTCTTTCTCACACATCGCTTGCTAATGAGGGCTTCCATGTCGAACCACGATTGTGGCGTTGGATCTGAATGGGCAAGAAGCAGCAAGAAGAAGACGAGTACACCATACACGCACACAAGAAAAATAGTCTCGGCCCATCACACACACATACAATAAACAACACCACCATTCATAACGCTTTCATACACGTATCTTCTATTATCATTATTGGTAAGGGGCGGGGTGACAGGTTGGAGGGGTGCCAAGGCTATTGTTGCTGCGGTATGGCTACAATACAACTACACCTAGCAATACTACCACACCTATACCCTTTTATAAGCAAGTGATATAAAGATAGTTTAGACATACTTGTTTACCCATTCCAACTGCAATTGTGAAGGATCATGACATTGGATTAGTCAAATGGGGTGAAATGGGGTGACGTCGTCTTGGTAATAAATTGCCCGTTTCCAGCTCAACGAATTTCTTCCTCTCTCTTCCCAACTTTTTTTCAACTCGCGTCATGCCCTACTTTTGGCTCTTTGCTACTGTCGCTGCTTTCGCCTCTGGCCCTCTGTGCCCATTTGTCCTGCTCTTTGCCTGCATATTGCAGCTGCTTATCGCTTTCCCTGTTCTCTCCGCCTCGTTGTTTTGCCTCTTCATGTTTTTCGTTTTCTTTCATGATCCCCTTGTTGCCTTTTGGCACTCTCTTGTCGACGTTTGGGTGTGGTGTTCGTCTGACTGGGATCCACGTATTTTGCAAGCAATGCGTGATAATGAAGAAGCAACCAAGTTCGTGATGGAAGCCCGTGCATTTTGGAAGGTGGTTGATCTCACAGGTGCTCCTCTTTATGACGTTGCCGATATTGAGGGCCCTGCTGCTGATGAGATCGTTTCTGCTTGTGGTGATGAGTCCGTTTTTGGTGTTGCTCCCGTTTTTGGTGATGTCTCGTTTGCTCCTGTTGTTAGTCGTTCTGGTTTTTCTGCTCTTGGTGTTGCTTCTGCTTTTGTTGGTGTCGATGGTGTTCGTTCTTCTGGTGTCGATGGTGTTCGTTCTTCTGGTGTCGATGGTGTTCGTGGCTCTGTTGTTGGTGATGGCGTTTCTTTTCCTGCTGTTGCTGCTACTGCTTACGATGACGTTGAGGCTCTTGGTGCTGGTGCTGCTGATGTTGGTCGTGTGTTGGACCCTGTTCCTGGTGGTGAGAATGTTGTTGCTGCTCTTGGTGTTCGCGAAGAGGATGTTATGGACGAGCTTGGTAAGTATATATCGGAACATTGGTTCTTTAACCATAGAATTATTAACAATGCCTCTTTTATAGCTTTTCTTTTTCTCCACTTGAGTGTGGATGATCCTCTTGACGAGGATACCTACATGGCTCCCCCCTTTGATCGTCGTTACGTGGAACCAGTTGACATAATGGAACTTGGTAAGTGGTGGTGTAGCATACATGAATTATGATGCTGAATCACATACCTACTCACATGGGATGATGTTTTCTAGATGATCATTTGCTCTCGGTGATGTCGGTGCACTTGGAAAACTCTCCTTTCTTCCAAGATGATGACGATCCCATCATGATCGGTAAGTATCAAACTTGAACGTCTTTTATATAACCATATGTATCTAATATACTGCTATTACTTAGATATGCCCTCTCCCCTCATTCCATCACGACCCGCAACACCACCCCCATCACCTCCTCCATCACCTACGCCAATTCCTATGGAGGTTGATCTTACAATCGTTTCCCCTACTGTCAACACTACCGCTTCCACCACCACCATCACCAATACCGCTACCATCACTACACCTATGCCCACTGACACTCCTGCCACCACAACCACAACTACCGATATCACACCTGCTACCACTACTACCGCTACTGCTATTGTCACTTCACCACCTCCTAGTCCTCCTCTTAATCCCGCCATGTCACTCATTTGGTCACGCATTCAACAACTCCGTACTCGTACAACACCATCATCCAATTCCGCAACACCCTCTTCTACCGTTACTATGCCTACCACTCATTCTGCCGCTACCACTTCCTCACGTCCTCTCATTAACGACAATATGCCACCTCCTCCATCACGATCACGACGTATCACCCTCACTGTCACGCCACCTACAACATCATCATCCACCGCCACATCCACTCGTTCTTCATCTATTGTACGTCCCGATATGCCTCCTCCTCCTCCACGACCACCACGAGCAACCGCAACACCTTCATCTTCTTCTCGCGTATCATCATCCTCATCCTCATCCTCATCATCTACAACCGCCACCACTTCAACACCTAGTGAATCCGAACAACCACAACAGCAACAACAACCCACCACCATCACTTCCGCCACACCTCAACCATCATTACCTTCCGATGTGCGTGAAGCACAAGAGGCCCTTGGCCTCTTTGACTGATTGCGTGTGCCTTTTGGTAAGTGAACATTGGATCACTATCTTTGTACCTCTTACTAATGTATTTCTATCCCATCTACAGGGTGACTGGTTTGGTGGTCCTTTTCCTTGAGGACGTTTTCGGGTTATGGATGGGATACCCTGCAGTCCAGTCTCAAGCGTGGATGATTCTCAGGTACGTTCAGCTTCATGTGTGTTGAGTGAAAGGGTCGGCATGTAGGTCTCGCGGTGGGAGGATGTGGAGGGTCATCGATGACGCTACCTTGGGTGCTGTAAGAGCCAACGAGAAGTCCAATTGGTATCCATGATCCAGCTTGCTATGTACAAGACCTTGCATTCCTACGTCCTCTCATGGTCTATTTGCTATGTTACCCACTGAGGTGCTTGATTTGGTCTTGAAAAGGTAAGTCAAAATATTGGTATTGTTGGTGTTCCATTTACTTACTAACGTACTTTTATGTTGTGGGGGCCATCATGGTTATTGATACTGTGATGTGTCCCTGCATAGTGCCACCGCCTTTACATGTTGGATGATCATGTATTGGCACAAGCGGTAATCATTCTATGAAGTGGGTATCGGCAAAGGAACATCAAGACATGGTGGGCAAGGCATCATAGCCTGGGGATTGGTGAAGATTGGACGTCGTTGGATCCGGCGCCCTTGGTGCAGAGGATAAGACTTTGAAGGATCCGTGAGTGGGAAAGAGGCCTGCATGTTGATTCCTTTCACTCTCCACATGGGGTTGGATGTGCCTGGGATGACATGCCACGTCTTGTTTCTGGTTCTGTAGGGTATCCCTGTGAACAGGTTATGGTCACGCGTTGTGGTATGTATTGAAGCACAAATGGGTATGTCTTTTCAAAATGCTAATGGATGTCTCTCTTAACAATAGGCCTTGGGCCCTTTTGGGGCGATTGTTACGAGCAGCGGCTGCTGTCGCGGAGGACAGGAGTTCTCTTTTCTTTTTATTGGTGTCGTTACCGATCCGGATCTTGGGCATTTGGTGGCATACGCAAGGGTTCTCCTTCCTTTTTATCGATGGTGCAATCGTATCGAGCCATCGTTGTCATGGCAACAAGGTGCAAGAGTTCTCTTTTCTTTTTACTGGTGCCATTATCAAGCTGAATACACTGGTCGCCGTGGTTACAAGTCTCAAGCTCTTTCTCGCTCCTTGTGTTGGCATTGCTACATATCAAGAGGCTATCACCATGGCTACAACGCAAAAGGTGTCTCTTTTCGAGAATACTAGATCGGTGCTATTGCCAAGTTGACCACATCTTTCGCCATGGCTACAGCGCAAGGACATTGCATTGCATGCATCTTATTCGCGTATTACCTATTTGGACACATTCATTGTCATGGCGACAGAGCAAAGGAGTTCCTTTTCATTGTACTGGCATCGTTACCAATTTCAACATATTTATCACCAAGGCGACAACACACAAGGAATTGCTTTTCATTTTGTTGGCGGGACACATTTATCGCCATGGCTACAGAGGAGACAAGACCTTTTCCCTTCTATTGGCGGCGTTACCTATGAGGGTTATTTATCATCATTGGTCAAGGCACAGCGGGGTCTCTTTCAATCGACTTGGTGGTGTCACTGAATTTGGGCATTTATCGGCATGGCAACAAGGCACAAGGGCCTCTTTTTCTTTTATTCGATGAGGCGATCCGTTGCGATGCAGCTATTATCTTTGATCCACGTGCATACGATCCTGCTTGTTTCAGTAATTGGTACTCCTCTCTGTGATACGATACATGGCTATGGCATCAAGATGCGGCTCATCACGCTCTCGTTTTATTGGCATTATGGTGGCAGCAGCAACACGATGAGGAGTTGGCCTGTTGTACTCTACATCCGACAAAGCATGACACGGAGGGCAACGCAATGGCATTGAGGAAGGCATTGACTTTGATCACGTCACCATTGTCATGGCTACAATTGCGAAGATTCATACCTATGACATCAATGATGGATTATCAAAAGGTCTTTCGGACACTGGTGGCATTTATCACTTGGATGGATTGACAACACACAACTATCGCGATGGCTTTATGCCACATGGCGCAACCAAGACACGAATGCAGGCATCTCGTTATGTTTACATCACATCCCAATGGCGGCATGTGCATCAAAATGATCTTTTGCGAAGGCTTTCCTGTTACAATTCCACATCATCAAGATTTTCCAATTCATTGACAAGAAGGACCAATCACTATTGCATCTTCAGAAGTGGTTATCGGCGGTGATCATAATTTCACAGCACACATGTGGCAGCGGATGGCGAGGACATCTCATCTCTTGGTGGCTGGAGCATGCTATCCGTTACTACGCATTCGAATGGAGGACGAATTGCAACCAATGCACTTGCTATGGCTTTACATTGGACCTTTTCATCATCTATACTCTATGAGACCAAGAAGGCTATGAAATCATACACACATGGGTCACATGGCGTTGCAAGAGCATTCACAATTTCAACCAAGAATGTTATCAGCATTCAAGTCTGGATTTTCTCCACAAAGCCATATCAATCCAAAGATTCCTGCTGGTCTGTGGACCTTTTCCTATCATGGGAGGTTCATGCATGGTTACGGACAATTTGGCGAAGCCCAAAATCGCCACATGGTCGACATTGTACTCAAAAGTCAAGAACAAACCAACCAAGGCTCGACCATTAAAAACGTATGTATATGATTCCAAAGCCAATCTATTACCATGACGCTTACCGTATCATTATATAGATGCAATCATTGAACGTCTGTACCATACCACAGCGGTTCTGGCGAAATTGATTCTGGATTTCCTATGCACAGCAATTGCATGATTCCACATATATATATCAAGACAATCAATCTATGGCTCTCTATCTCGTACGCGCATACACGTTCATCAATCATTTCAATCAAGCGCTCACTCAATCACAACCACAAATATCAAAGTAAGTATCATTGGGTGAATTGGTTGACATACAAGATCCATGTATTGACAATGGTGTTATAGAACAAACATGCCTGGAAACAAACGTCAATGGCATCAAGACCGGTCTGGAGGATATGTATCGCTTTGTCGTTCAGGGTCACAGGGCACCGTGCGGCCACCGATTAAGAGTCGCCTGGCCGTTGGGTGCCGTGCTGAATCTGCTCAACAATCTCGACCATCACTCAAACAAGGATAGGCATTCAATATGATCAAAATCAAGAGAGCCTGAAAAAAAGAAGTAGGTATATGATTGGCTTTATCAAGGATGAAAAGTGGATTCTCATTGTGGGCTACTAGAAAAGAAGAAAAGAAAAAACAAGAAAAAGAAGAAATGTGGGACTTGCAAGAACTGTGCTAGGAGAACTTGAATCACGCTGGAATCGGTGTTTGACCACAAAGGGCCTTACGTTGGCGCAAGTGAAAGGATACTGCAAACCATACACGCGCTCCCGATGAAGATGGGTAAGTACATTCGAATCTTCCTTTTTACCCTGCCATTAGTAATACCATGTTCGTTAGGCTTCTTTGTACACGCTTGAAAGCTACCCGCAAGGTCATCAAGGTTGGGTCTATTTTCGGTGGCAAGCGCAATGAGGACAATGGAACGTTAAAGCCAATGTGAACACCATTTTGGAAAAGAGGATACTCAAACCGAACGTATGATGAGTTGTGTTTGCGAGAAGGATCTGTAAGTGACATTGGTGCGGAATGTCATCGAACGCCATGCATACTAATACCTGTGTGATACAGCGGTCTCGTTGGATCTACAAATACTGGTACAAGGAAGGAGGGACTACCCTTATGATACTTGAAGCTCTCGTCAATGTGACAGCACGGCACTATGCTTTGGGCTTTGTTGGTACGAGTCCTTGTTGGGTGGTAGCATAATGAAGAAAACGACACCCGAGGTCCCAGATAAAGCTATCGCTCGCAGCTATCATTTTTAAACATGTATATTTAGCTAGTCATTTTCATACATGTCATGCTTAATTGAGAGCTAACATAATGACCATTTATGCAATAAAGCAATACAATCTCCTATACGCCTATGCATCTCTAACCTCATCATTGGTATTTTGAACTAGCAACTTTATACACTCATTATTGCCATGTAACTCTTTTGCCTTGGAGACCCTCCACCTTGGTTATTGTTATTGCATGATTGGTATTCCTTGGTTGGTAGCTTTACCTCTTTGTGACCATGATTAATAAAGGTTCCAATAAATGACGATTAGGTTACAAGTATTGGCACCCTCACCCTAAACTTATTATCGTTACAAGTATGCTGATCACTTTCGTTCTCAAAACACCCCCATGGTTTACTATTACTATTTTGAATAGGAGCGCATCCATATAGAATGCAAACGTGTAGATAGCCGACGTCATTGAGATGACCTATCTAGAGCCTGAAACTTTCACACGTGGTGCTATCCAGTATGCTGATCAACTTTGGTTATGATCCGTGTAAGACTGTTTATTAAGATATAATAAAAACCACCTGGCTAAAAGGTTAGTACGACAACCAAGTGAGAACAACAATAAGAGATACACACCTTAGCAAGTAGGTGGTTTTTGATAGTAAAAGAGAAAGCAATAACGTGCTCGACAAAGGTACAAAAAGAGAGAAACAACTGAAGAAGAAACAATCATCATTAACTAAATCTGCATAAGAGGCAGCAGAGAGGAGAACTTACAGAAAAGATGTAAGAACGGGGAGAAACACCCAAGCAACGAAAGATGAACAAAAGTAATGAGGGAAAGAAGAAAATGAATAACAACGAGAAGGATTTAAATAATGAAATGGCAAAGGGAAAGTATCCTGCATGAAACACTAAAATAAAGCAGCCGGCAAAAGATCAAAATGGATCATCATCCCCCACCTAAACATGGATGAAACGGGTAAGGAAGTCCTTACGATCGTGGAATACGCCCAGAGAATCTTCGTTGATTCGCCTCTTAAGTAAACAGCCTTGACTATCTCCAAGCTGGTACGTACGATTGTCAAACCCAGCAATAACAATGAATTGTTGATCCGAGTAATTAAGGTCCATCTTTCTTTTTGCCTCATGTTTTACACGTAAGACCACAGTGCCTGGCGGATACTAGACTCGAATACTAGGCCCTTGTTTGTACTCCATATAGCTCTTGACTCGGTCATCCAAGGCAATTTCATCAATCATCATGTTGCGATCTCTCGAATGCATCAATCTTGCACCATCGAGGACATGCCCAACTTGCAGCAGAACATCATCCGTAGGAATGTTGGCAGGCTGCCCGAACAAAAGTACAAAAGGAGAAATTCCCAGTGACTCATGCGCCTTAGTACGATATGAGTACAACACGCTTGGGACATGCAAATCCCATTCAGTGGGATGCTCATAAGAAAGCTTCTTCAATGAGGCCATGATGACATCATTCAAATGCTCGCAACGTCCATTGGTTTGTGGGCGATAAGGTGCAGTGTAAAGATGCTTGGTACCGAGCTTGTCCAATGCGATCTCAATTCCAGTTTGAATAAATGCAGAGCCATTGTCCGACAAGATCTCCAAAGGTGGTCCAAATTGGGAACAGATATCCTCATAGATGAAAGTACTCATATTCTCGGCAGATGGGTTCTTGAATGCACGTGCTAAAGTCCAATTGGTGTAGCACTCCACTCAAGTAGAAAGCGATTACCATTCTCCGTTTCAGGAAGAGGTCCCACAAAATCCAATGCAAAGCGTTGAAAAAGACGATAAACGGGCACCTTTCTAGTAGCGTGTGGTCTTGCTACAGGAGCGTACAGCTGACATTGCTTGCATGATTTGATAAAGTCTTTGAGATCCTTGAAGACACATGGCCACCAATAAGATGAGTACAAGCGCGCCCAGCTGGCATTAATACCAAAATAGTCATATCCATCATGCACTTCCTTAAGGATCCTTAATCGTTCTTCACCCTTAAATGGAATACGCACCCAACGCAGGCCCACTTTATGGTAAAGATCGTTGTCTTGAACATGAAAAAGTGAAGATTTGGTCTTGGCTACCCGAGAGTACCGATTTCATGTCAAGCACATCCCTGGTAAAACGAATGTTGTGGCAGATGTTCTCTCACGCTACCCACCATCAGAGGATCCAAGGGAACCAAGTGGAGAGGACTCGTTGGCCGAACTATATGATAATCTTTAATTCAAGGGCAAGTCTATGAGGATTCGTTGAAGCCTATCTATGAGTACCTCTTGTGTTCTTTGGATCAAAAATGGCGACGCGTATGAACAACCTACATTTCATTCAAACTTTTCGAATTCCAAGCCCTAGTATGGTTTTTGCTAACCGTGGTACACGCCGGATTGATAAAATCCAAGATCCTATACATTTAGGGGTTCGCAATCTGGAACATGAAACATGATCAGGTGATGCTCTGGACCATGCTGAGCATCGCCATTGAAAAAAATCTAATCTCTTCATTAGAAAATTTTGAAAGCGGGCATCGACATGCAATAGAGGCAATACCTGCCTAGTACCAGTAAGAAAGGGGTACGGCCTAGCTGCCAGATATTGAGTACCTCAACCACCAAAATTTCACACACGCATCGTTGCAGTGTGCTGATCATTTTCGTTACCATAATGCCCTCAGGGTTTACTATTACTATATTGAATGGGAGCGTACCCATATAGAATGCATACGTGTAGATAGCCGATGACATTGAGATTACCTATAGTGAGCTTGAAACTTTCACACATGGTGCTATTCGGTATGCTGATCAACTTTGACTATATGAACAACCTACATTTCATTCAGGCATTTCGAATGGCAGGGCCTACTATGGTTTTTGCTAACCGCGGTACACCCCGGATTGATAAAATGCGAGATGCTATACATTTAGGTGGGTTTCCCTATCTCGAACATGACACTGGGTCAGATGATGCTCTGTACCATGCTGAGCATCGCCATTCATAAAGATCCAATCTCTTCATTAGAAAATTTCGAAAGCGGGCATCGACATGCAATAGAGGCAATACCCGCCTAGTGCCAATAAGAAGGAAATACGGCCTAGCTGCCCGATATTGAGTTCCTCAACCGCCAAAATTTCACACATGCATCATTGCAGTGTGCTGATCATTTTCGTTGCCATAATGCCCTCACGGTTCACTATTACTATTTTGAACGGGAGCGCATCCATATAGAATGCATACGTGTAGATAGCCGATGACATTGAGATTACCTATAGTGAGCTTGAAACTTTCACACATGGTGCTGTCCAGATCAACTTTGGTTATATGAACAACCTACGTTTCATTCAAACTTTTCGAATGGCAAGGCCTAGCATGGTTTTCGCTAACCGAGGTACACCCCGGATTGATAAAATGCGAGATCCTGTACATTTCGGTGGGGTTCCCAATCTCGAACATGAAACTGGGTCAGATGATGCTCTGGACCATGCTGAGCATCGCCATTCAAAAAAATCCAATCTTTTCATTAGAAAATTTTGGAAGCGGGCATCGCCATGCAATAGAGGCAATACCCGCCTAGTGCCAATAAGAAGGAAATACGGCCTAGCTACCCGATATTGAGTTCCTCGACCGCCAAAATTTCACACATGCATCATTGCAGTATGCTGATCATTTTCGTTCCCATAATGCCCTCACGGTTCACTATGACCGTTTTGAATGCCATGGCATGCATGTACGGTAGTCGTGATGGACCTATAGGGTGGGCCTCCCAGTAAGGTATTATCGAATGCCTTTTTCTTATGACCACCCACAGCATGAGGTGATGATGATGTGATGGCATCAGATGCATTTCTCTTGAAACCACTTTTGTGGCGGGGTGGAAACACCTTCTTTCTCATAACATTAATAATAGCACAATGATATGGAGTAAAGCACTAATCTGTTGTCGCAAAAGCAAATGCAACTTTCCACCCTCAGGTATTTCGCTAACACCCATGTACGCATACCGCCTCTTGACGATTCGTATATGCCTTGGTAGTGTTTATAGGTCGGCTGTCTAGAGACGTTTCGTGGGTGTCACGGGCAGCACAATCATTGACTATACTATACGCATCATTGATTTCATATTAGGATGTATGTGGCGTGGTTGTTCTCGACCATAATGGTACGCTGCGAAAACGAGATGATGAGTTGCCACCATCAATAGGTCGTCTGCCACTTCCTGGACCACCCATGGTCAAAGTAGAAAACAAGCAACGAAAAATGAGTCTCCTCGTGGTCCTCGTGGAACGTGACATTTGTATTGGGCTAAGAGAGAAAATCAGTAGACGCAACTATGAGGATCATGGCGCTTTTACATCTGCAGATGGTTATGCAAGGCAAGAAGATGTGGAAAGAGCCATGAAGCGTTTTGAGACAAAGGCCAGGGATCCGACCAGATAGCAAGCCGTTTTGAAGCACAAGATCAATCAAAGCAATGGCCGTCACAAAGCACCCAAAGATACCTGGTTCTTCAATAGGCGTCGGCAAATCATTGAGGCTATACAAAGCTATGCTAGGAGGAATGGAAGTGAAGGTAATATCTTGGAAGTTGTACGCATGTTCGAGCAAAAGTGGTTGAATGCACGTTTCTCTATTTCAGACTTGATAAAAAAGGAGGTGTTGGCTACATTTTTCCAATGAACACATATGATCACCAGTGTTAGTTCTTGTAATGCATGCAGCTTGATCACAGATTTTTATGCCTAGTTGTTCCCTGGCTCTCCCATCTCCTTTGTGTTCCCCGTCATGTGTCTTATTCACTCCCACCACCACCTTCCAATCATCTCCATGTTACATTTGATATTGCATAATCAGGTATGCCTATGTGAGTGGGTGGGCATTCTTCTATATTTTCTCAGCTACAGTAGGTACTTTACTTTTCATTCTTGCAAAGCCAAAGGTGCACACTTCCGGATACATATACAATAAAGAGCCCACGACTATTTATTTCGAAGTCCAAATGCTACATGTTGAAGTACAAGTTTGGTGAATGCCCACTATAATAGATAATACGATGATGATCCAGCATATGGGTACGGACGCATTTATTCACGAGCTGCTTGCACACCAGCAATGAGAGTGCGATCCACATAGAGATGTGCGTTGCGATGATACCGGGGACCGAAGATGCCGTAATCCAACAAAGGTGGATTCCTTCAAGGTGCCAGGGCCAATGAAAGGTGATGCATGGTTTATTCAAGCTTTCCCAAGGTAAAATGTGGCAAGGATATCATAACAACCAGCTCTTGAATCATGAGTAACGGTGTGACGAGTAGTAGGAGCGCTAGCCCACAATGTTGTGACCATAAGGCAATAGCAAGAGATCGTAACGGAGAATGACTGCCGAGTTGAACATGATGATTGAGAAAATGGTGCCGAGTATCAATGCCTTGTTCCCATTTCCTCATGCTGATATACACATCCTCACAAAGGTTTAGCAACGTAACATGGCGTGATAACATAGACGGATCCTCAGAGCTGGCATGACACGAGCACCGATATCGTTCGTATACGTGGCGACCGAGAAAGGAATGCTTTGGAAAAAAATTTCCGATGAATGCCTCATCGTACATCAAGCAATTGAATCAAATGAGCAAGTATTGCGTCTTGTGAAACATCCATGGCATCATCGTAACCGTACTCGCGAATGCGTGCATGATTGTAGTGAAAGCATGTGAAGGTATTTGACGTCTGTTCGAGATAATCCATCCCATCTTGAAGACATGGCCTTGATACACTCCCTCTCCAAATTGTATGATGTTGTATTCATGGCTCCAAATCATGATCCCAAACATACGCCGATCGAACAAAGCCATCGTAATGGTGTTGCATTTGAGAGAACGCTGATGATGATGGATGAGCTGTAAATGATCCGAGGTGGGAGTCGTGTCGATAGAAAATGCAATCAATGATGGTAGTTGTGGGCATGGGTCGGTCTTCAAGCTCTGCTACATAATCACTTGGTGATGCCCAATGCGTCCAATTGTGGGTGTCATAGGTCCATTCCACTAGCAAATACAAGTCCTTTCCATTTGGGGCTGATAATGGCGGGACATAGCTCCATCACGTCATTGAGAGTAAAAGAAAAGCCGTATTCCTGCTGTGCTTGCGAGTCCATAAGCAATGTGTCGTGTATAAGGAAAAGGATAAGGTAGCTTATTGTATCCATGGAGAGCTCGTCTTTCTATATACGCTATTTGTTAATGAAGATGAAAAGGGAAGACGTGATTCATGCGTACCAATATTAAGGAGCGCCATGTTGGCTAGTTCATCTTTCCCAGGAGATCATCCAATGGTAGTTCTCTTCGTGTCACAGCCTTTCTTGCATGGGATGCCCAACTCTGCCACCTCGTTATGGGTATATCCAATGAACCTGATGCCATCATGTGTTGTATAAGAAAAGGTGTCGATTGAAGGATAGCCCGTCTCCAAATCTTTGAAACATGTAAAAAAGTTGGTGCCTCCTTTGTGTCGGCATGACTCGAAAGATAAGAATCTACATACCTTCCCAACAATGTCACATGACAACCGTGTAATAAAGTCGTCTTTGCTGTCATGGTTTTGTTGTGTAGTGCAGTGGATGATGATGGTACAATCTAAAGCGTAAGCAATTAGGCATGAATCGTATCTTTGGATTCCTCAATACAGCCATGATTCAAACCTTTGCGAAGGGGACCCATAGGTGATGCAGGATCCAAGAGAGCTTTTTCAAGGGCTGTTTCCAGTTGGTTGAGTGCAATAAGCGAGTCTGAGCGTGCGTATAAAAGTTGTACAAGCTGGTGTTTGAGATCGCCAACAGCGAGTTGCGATGTGTCAATAACTTGATCGTGTCTCTGCAGATGCATGGCTGCCGTCAATGTCGAAAGTAGATTGTCGCATTCGAGTTGTTGCATGTTGTCTACGATCGTGCAGAGAAAGAAGGAGGAGTGCGGGGTCTCTGTGTGCCTTATGCAACCAACCCATTTATTTATCCACTCCTGCTTGTATGATTGATCCCTATTACCGCGTCAATAATAAATGATAGCTATTAGCTTTCTATCATGGAGGATTCTAACAGTAATGGATCGATTAGGTAAATGATGTTAGTCTTTGAGCTCATAATTGCTTATCCTGAAGTGGGGTAAAAATGCTATCATGTATCGATTGTGCTACATTGAATGCTATCTGTGCGCCATGCAGATGTTTAAACTATATTCAATATTGGGCTGACTGGATAAACGACCCTTGCTTCTGCAGACATTTGCTGCAAATACAACCATTTTTCATCCATGTATGCTTTGTATCTCATGATTGTCAAGTAGGCTAGTCTTTTTTATGCATGTGGATGGATGGATGGATGGATCAGGCGTGCGTGTTTGTGTAACGGCAAAATTCTCCTTGTTTATCCGATCCATTCATGCGGGGTAAAGCCACTGCTATGATTATTATGCAGCACCTTTCTCCATTCTCTGGTTACTCTCGTTTCCTTGACGACACCCGTAAACACCACCCTGCACCCCCTTTACAGCCAAATGTTTATGGTGGATACACAACAACAGCAACAACAACAACAACCGATTCATTGAATGACCAACCTCCATTGTCTTCCATGTCGCTTGCACTCATCGGCATCTTGCTGTTACTGGCTCTTGTTCTTCCGCTGACACAAAGACTTTAACGCTTGGATCAACCCACTGTACCCTATTGAGCCATGCAAGAAACCATAGCAACCAATATCGACAACGGATCCGGTTACGTCTTGTTGGAAAACACACTCAAGCACCTTATTGCTTATCGTTTCATGTGGTGTTCACTATGGACCTTTTTACATCATTGGACATCCTTGTACGATTGATTCACGACTGGCTGGCTGCATTTTAGGGATGGATCTACCGCCAAAAGGATGACTTGTACAGCTGGTGATGATGATGGCAGTAACCGTTCATGAAGAGAATACCTATCCACGGTGTACGGAGCCTGTCAAACATCAAGATGGGTATGCTAAAATTACTAATGTGGATCGAAGGTAAGCATGGATGAACGACAAGAGGATAACGAACAAGGTACGTGATACGTGATGATGATGATGATGATGATGATGATGATGATGATGATGATGATGATGATGGCAGCATCCTATGATGAAGAGAGCATCTACCCACCTTGTAAGGAGTCTGGCAAATGTGAAGATGGATATGGTAAAGCATTGTTGTGATTGGAAGGTAAGAGTGGATGAAGGCGAAGAGGATAACCAACAAGGTAAGTGATGATGATGGCGATATAGGATCAATTATGGATGGCCTGGATCAAGATGTTCATCTGTGCGACTTTTATGAAGGATATACAAGGCACATTTCCCATTGACATTGCATACACAATTCGAGGGATTGCATATCGTTGTACTTTACAATAAAAAATATGGAGATGTTTATGATTGGATGGTATGAAATGCAAAAGGGCGATAATACATGATCGATGGATGGTTTGTAATATAGAGCACCATGCTTGCAAACCTATTGTAGAGTTGTCCCATAATATGCGTAGTTGTCAATTTGTCATACGAGACTTATGAGATTCAACAACGTTGTAAAGTTCGTGATGGAGGTAATACCTACAGACACATTTGAGCTGTGGTCTTCTTTTACTCCATGTGGGATGTCCATGTCGATTAGATGCTGTGATGATTATCAGTGGCATTTATCACAGCAACATGTTGGATAATAGGAATGATGATAGGGGATCAATGTAACCTATCCATAAGGGTACGCATGTGCAACGTGCAGTGTTTAAAAAATCAGTGGCGTAAACATCATCTTTTACTTTGTCTCTTTCTTTCCATTTTACACCATGACGTGCGTCGACTGGAAGAAAATATTACATGCCATGCCTGCAACATCGACCAACGATGGCAATGATGATGATGACATTATGAGCGCAACATTCGACATTCAGGATTTGTTGCATCACATCATCTCAAAACTTTCACATCGTATGCATGATTTGATATCGATTGGCAACTTTGAATGGGCCTTGAACGACGCTGCAGCCATACGAACGCTTGATCACTCATGCTTCGATGGATATCTATGTGCAGCAAAAGTGTATCATCAGCAAGACCATCACGAAGCAGCGATTGAGATATGCAATGAAGGCTTACAAATGATTCATCCATCCGATCCTGTCTATGCTACTCTGTGCTCAATGGTTACCAAATTACCAATGGAAGCGCGAGTCGACTTTATATCTTCATTACCCATGGACATCACAAGTCGTATTGCATGGATGATATTCACAAAGGGACATCCTACCAAGAATCCAAAGCAATACCCATGCCTGCAGGTCTCAAAAGTTTGGAACAAACGATTACTGGAACCGTATAACGCACTTGAATTGCATGTTGTCAATAGCAACGGTTTTGACAAATGGGAGCCGCACATAGTACGTTACGGGCATCACATGACATCTTTGACCATCGATGGGTGTACATCGCCATCATACAAGTTGCTTGAGAAAACAAAGTTTGGTTCATTGACAACGTTGTCAATAAAAGGTTGAGTGTTGTCAAGAATAAATGTGGTCATGGCAACTCATTTTGCTCTGCATTAGATACACCTCAGGATAAAGACACCTATATGATGGCAAGGTTACTACGCTCCTTGCAACAAATGCCAACAACATTGACAACACTCACGATCATTGCTCCGACAATGTTACCTATCGCTTCAATACTCAATTCATTGCCCCATTTGTCGTCATTCGAATGCTCTTCTATTGCAGTGGACCCAATCATGTTGCATTCGGCTTATCTAAAGATGGAAACTTTCAAGTTACGCTGCACGATGTATGCCGATTATGAGACTGCATCATGTATCCTGCCTCGATTTCCGTTCCTCCAGACACTCTTATTTGACGCAATCACCGATCGATTTCCAAAGATCTTGACACAGCTACCCCATTGGTGTCCTAGGCTACAGCACATTAATTTGGGAGCTGAGCATAGTGCCAAGCATCACATGACACCTGGAGGTGTGACAATTATTCTAACAATGAAAGATGCATCATGCATCATGCAGCAGCGACATCATTGCGCTCTTAAAGCATTATGCAGCTGATCTCGAAAACGTGGTGTTTCAATTATCCCTCGATGACTTTCCAAAGCATTTTATCATGCCTGTTCAATTCAAACGGCTAAAGTGTATGCAAGTAGTGTATGGTGATACACCTATTACCAATGAACGCTTGTGAGAGTGGTTGTTACGGTATGCACCTTTTCTCGAAGCAATCCATGTTGGCAGTGCTAGATCAGCAGGCATATCCGTATTCAATGCAATGATGGGACTGGCTCGCTTACGAGTTGCGGAAATTCCATTCTCGTCGGATACTATCAAAGGTCAAGCTTGCTTCTTGAAGCATCATCATACATTGGGTACCAAATCAAATCTACGAAGCCTCATCATCCGATTCGTTGGTGGCGCTTTTATCACAGGACATACACTGCAGCGCGTGGCTGGATTAAAACATTTGGAACAATTATCCGTTGTGGAAGAGAATGATGATGGCGGTGTATTTCATCAAACACAAAGGCTCATGTTTGAGAGTCTCATCTGTGGATGCACGTCATTGACACACCTAACCTTGGATGCTTTTACGTCGATTGATCAAGCAGTCATTGAAGCAGTGGCCAAATCAAAAAGCCTCAAGCACCTGACGCTCATGGTGGATGACGTTTCTCATACAACAATTTGCCCTTTAATTTCATGTCCTCAGCTCACCACGCTTCATTTATCAACTGACACGTCAACGATACCAGCATCTGATCCAGCTACTCAAAGAGAAAAGATGCTGCGGCTGGTTTTATCCAAAAGGGCACCAAGATGATCTACTCCACTTTTCTCATAGCCATGATGATGGTAAATGCTAGCTAAGATGAACAAAGGTCAATGACAAAATAAAAACAAAGGAACGCAAAGTAAGAGACGCCATCGACAAACGAGAAATTTGAGATTGGCTATCTCTAGCTTGATGCTTTCACACAATATACTTTTGACCATGGTGAAAAACATTGGCCTAGTAAAGACCCTCATGGTTCATTGTGTCATTTTGGGGTATGGCGGTCTTTATGTTGTAAACAAGATGCCACATGAATAGTGGTATTTGTTCATCCGGAATCGTGTCATTTATAGCAGAGAGAGAAAGTTGTAGGTAGAGGTGTTTGTATTACAAAGACAAGAGGATGGGATGATTATACAACTCACAACGAAAATACCATCATCAAAAACCCCACCTTGACGCAAGAATTGAACACACACAACACAAGTACTACAACAGTTGCCTTATCGATGCTTTATTCATATGCATATAAATAAGCCTTCTACTGAATACAGACACACCAAGTGGAAGGGTTGCTGGTTGCCATGGAGAGATTGGTTGCGTAGGCTGTGATAGCGGTGTGGGTGTCATATGCATGCATGACGGGCATTGTCTAATTTGGATGTTGTTTGTGTCAAAAGGTGCTTTGTTTACTCAGCTTCTCCTTCCTCCTTCTTGCCGAAACCTCACAACACCAAGATCGTGGTTCGACATGGGAGCCGTCATTAGTCAAGTCGATACGTGAAATGGTGTCCGTGAAGGTGAGTAACGTGTTAATAGAGTTCAAATATAGACTTTGTTCGCTGTTCGTACTGATATGCTTGTCTTTTTACAGCTTTCCTCGTTCAGCAATGGCGACAATGGCAGTGTTTGGGAGGAATGCGTAAAGAGATTCTCTTCAAGAAGGGCAACGAGTTCACTGTTGATAGGCCAAAGAATACAACCAGGAAGGTTTGTAGCAAAGGGATTCGTTGGCATTCTATCTGGACGAGCTTCTTACAATGAACACTAGCAAGTTTTGTCCAGCGACCTGATCATGTGATGACAAACCAGCGACAGAGAAAAGACAGCGCTTCGACTTTGGAAGATGGTATGTGTAAAATACGGTATGCTATTGGATCACAGGATGAAGACTAATGGGTGAAAACAGGATCCTCAACAACCGTGGTC